TGCAGAACTCTGATTCTCAGTTCTCATCTGAGGAATTCCACCTCAGGAATCCCCATCCTTCTACTGCCGCCTCCAATTTTAATCCTCTCCCATCAGAACCATCATCATCATCCAGCTAGTCAACTATAAAATTTGTGTTTCAGATCTTAACATTAAAAAAAGGCCATGAATTTTGCTTTTGAGTTCTTCTATCATGTCGCGTCCCTTTGAATTGAGAGTATAATATGCAACTTAAAAGATAAATTGGTCAGAGTGAAATGAACTTAATGAAGCCTAACTTTGCAGCTTCTGAATGGAAAAGACGATTTGGCTGTCAACTTCGACAATGCCTCTGCTTACCCATATATTCTGTTTTTTCCTTATTATAAGACATTTCGATTGAAAATAAAAATTTAAAAATAACCTTAAAAATATGTTTCATATTATTGTGTTCTTCCAAATATAATAAAATATGTTTAAGGCTTCATTTTCAATTAAAAGAACGTATTATGTGAAATTTAAGACAAATAAAATATCTTAAAATATGTTATAATGATATGTTTGTATTATTTCCTTTCCAAAATACAAGTTCACTTTCTATTTGTGGTTATGTCAATTTATAATTGTATTTTATTTTTTAATGTATAATTTCTTCTTTTTTTTTTCAAATTATTCTTGTGTGTTAAATGTAACTTATACAATCTCAATACACAACTAGTTAATTAGGTTTAATTAATTAGGAGTAAAATAAATTTTTTCTATTTATTAATGGTTAATCCTTAATTCTTGTGCCACTCAAAGTGAGAAAAGATGTAGTATTAAATTCTCATGCCTACTTTTTAGCCCCCCAAAAAAAGGTTTATGTCGACTACCGATATTTAAGCTCCACTACTCTTTTATCTGGAGTCTGTATCCAGTATACCCGGGGGCACCGTGTCCCCTCCTATTTTTTTGCATTTTTAGCCCTTATTGTACTTTTTATCAATCTTTCTATATTTTACAAGTATAGTCCCTGTCATTTTTTCTCTCTCTTCCAAAAAAAATATCTCTAATCTTTCAACGAGCATATCTCCTAATCCGTGAAGAATTTGTAAACGAATTATATATGAAATTTATAGTACTCGTCGAGATCTATTCAACAAGATCCATATCCAATATTTTTTTCCAACTTAAAAATGATCAAATTTCTTTGGGCAGAATAAGTTGGATATCCCGTACAAACAAGTTGGATAACCAACTTGTTCTAAATTGGTTATCCACCGTGTTCATGCTGATTATCCAATCAGTTTGAACTGGTTATCCATTTTGTCTCTACTGCTTATCCATTTGGTTATCCAACTTCTTAATTCAAAATAAGTTGGTTATCCATCTTCTTAAACTGGATATCCAATGTGTTCATATTGATTATCCAATGCGCTAATACTGGTTATCCAATGGACTTACATGCTTATCCAAATTATTTGTACTGGTTATCCACTGTGTTCATGCTGATTATCCAACTTGTTTGTACTGGATATCCACTGTGTTCATGCATATCCAACTCTAATCTTTCAACGAGCATATCTCCCAATCCGTGAAAAATTTGTGAACGAAATAGATATGAAATTTATAGTACTCGTCGAGATCTATCCAACAAAATCCACAGTGAACATTTTTTCGGGCTTAAAAATGACTTAATTCTGACGGGCAGAATAGAATAGAGGTGGTTATCCATCTTTTTTTTTTTTGAAGAATGAATGTCAAACATATGATTGGATAACAAGTACGAACATAATGGATAATCACTCCAAACCTGTTGGATAATCAGTAAGAACACAACGGATAACCATTTTTCAAAGAAAAACAAAAAACACATTTCTTCATTTTCTGCCCGTAAAGTTTAAATGCATTTAAAGTTCAAAAAAATATTCAACATCGATCTTATCAGATAGATCTCGTCGAGCACTATAAATTTCATATATAATTCGTGTTATAATTCTTTACGGATCAAAAGATACAAGGAACATAACAATATGAATGTGAAATAAGTTGGTTATCCATCTTCTCAAACTGGATATCCACTGTGTTCATGTTGATTATCCAATGCGCTAATACTGGTTATCCAATGGATTTACATGGTTATCCAAATTGTGTTCATGCATATCCAACTCTAATCTTTCAACGAGCATATCTCCCAATCCGTGAAGAATTTGTGAACAAATTATATATGAAATTTATAGTACTCATCGAGATCTACCCAACGAAATCCACAGTGAACATTTTTTCGGACTTAAAAATGACTTAATTCTGACGGACAGAATAGAATAGAGGTGGATATCCATCTTTTTTTTTTTTTTGAAGAGTGAATGTCAAACATATGATTGGATAACAAGTACGAACATAATGGATAATCAGTCCAAACTTATTGGATAACCATTTTTCAAAGAAAAACGAAAAATGCATTTCTTCATTTCTGCCCGTAAAATTTAAATGCATTTAAAGTTCAAAAAAAATATTCAACATGGATCTTATCGGATAGATCTCGTCGAGCACTATAAATTTCATATATAATTCGTGTTATAATTCTTTACGGATCAAAAGATACAAGGAGCACAACAATATGAATGTAAAATAAGTTGGTTATCCATCTTGATTATTTATGTTAATGCTGTTTATCCAACTAATTAGTATTATTTATCCAACCTGATTTTTTTTTTAAAAAAAATAATAATAAACTAAGTTGGTTATCCAACTCGTTTGTATTGGTTATCCAATCATTGGTTTGTACTGGATTATCCAATGCGCTAATGCTGGTTATCCAATGGATTTACATGGTTATCCAAATTGTTTGAACTGGTTATCCACTGTGTTCATACTGGTTATCCAACTCGTGCATACTGGTTATCCAACTTACTGGATATCCAACTTATTCTGCCCATCAAAATTTAGTCATTTTTAAACTCAAAAAAAATATTCGAAATGGATTTCATTGGATAGATCACGACGAGGACTATAAATTTCATGTATAATTCGTTCACAACTTCTTCACGGATTGGGAGATATGCTCGTTGAAAGATTAGAGTTGTTTTTTTTGGAAGAGAAGGAAAAAAGTCACAGGGACTATCCTTGCAAATTATAGAAAGATTGATAAAAAAAGGTACAATAAGGACTACTCGTGCAAAAAATAGGAGGGGGGCACGGTGCCCCCGGGTATACTGGATAATTTGCCTTTTATCTGTCCCCTTCAAAGAAAAGAATATACAGTACATACAATCTGTAGTGTTGTACGTTGAGATTGGCAGCCACGATAATGAAATCTTTTGTTTCCTCACAAACTAGTATTGCTTTCTTTTTCTTCCTTTTTTTTTTTTGATGAAAAAACTATTACTCATCCTAATCCAAAAAAAATAATTCAATTTAAGTCCTCAAACTTGTACTCAAGTATAGAGCCTTCTCCCAAATAAACTATTTTTTTGGGGACAGAAAAAATATTACTCCCTCCGTCCCATAATTATTGTCCACTTTGTCCAAAAAAATTTGTTCCAAAATTATTGTCCAATTTGAGTTTTTATGGATCAAGTTACACATTTGTCCTTAGTAAAAAATATTATCCATAAAATCTTAGTGGTTAAACAATTACTTATGTAGAGGTATATCCGGTTGTTTAAGGTAAAATATAGCTAAGTTTGACCAAAAATAAAATCTTTCATTTTAGTAAAACTGGACAATAATTTTGGGACGGAAGGAGTATTTCTCATGAGCAAAAAAAACACACATAGGGGTGGCTCAAAGTTGAGTTGCTAAAGACACATTTAATTTCCACATGTTGCAGAATCCAAAATAGTTGATAAATCCGAAATTTCTATGCAAAATATATAGAGCATGTGGCCGGAATGCGTAAAACTGTTGACAACTTCTAAAGCAGTGACGACGGGGCTGACGCACCGACTCAGGCTAGCAACAACATGAGATGGACCATATGGTCCTATATTACAGTTATGGACCCGGAACTTGTTCACAAGTGACAGTAAGGTGGTCGAGGAAAAATCCAACTACAAAGAGTTCTTTTTAAACTTTGTCCTCTACTTTTCCCTTTTTCTGGAACAACAACATCATGTTAAGGCCATTTCGGCGCTGAAAAACCTTCCATTATCGAGAGAATCAAACAAGAAGTCGGATATAATATCGTTGAGCATGTGACACTTTTCTAGTACAATCGACTTAGCATGATATGAGTAAACTCAGGCTCTTTCTCCATCAGGCGACATTACAAATTAACAAAGAAAAAAAAATATATTCTACGTGGTACAAATCCAAATGATGGAAAAAAAAAGAATATTCTCTCGTCTCAGATTAAAAGTCCACATTATTTTGAAATTTGTAATTAAACAATATAAATATCAAAATTTAATGTGAATTATTTTTTTATTAGTAGAGGGAATAATTCCTCCGGTCTTAAAATAATACTCTTTTTTCAAGAAAAGAAAGATAAGCAAATTGACTCCTCTGGCCACAAATCAAAATAAATATATGTAGTTTACGTAGTTTACAATCCATTAATAGCTGATCTGATGTGTCGCAGCTTCAAATCCTTAACCCCCAAAGGAGTATGAACATCCTTTTCGTGTGATGAGAGTTTGCCAATAATAATTAAATGTTTAAAACACACATAGATTGCTCTCATGAAACTAGATACTCTAGAAGAGAAAAAATAAAAAATAAAAAAATTAGTTGCAATAGATAGAAGAAGGGAACAAAAAAAAGAAAAGATAAAATGTCGCATGCATGTGGAGCGTTTCCGACGATAAGCCCACACGTCTCATGTCGGGTTGGTAAACAAACCAAAGGCTAGACGCCGTAGAAGATCCACCAATACTTAAAGCTACTGAATTGTTATGGTGTAAAATTGAACTACCATTCGTCACTTTGCACATTGGGTATGTGAATCGGATTGATATTGACCCGTAACTTATATTATTATAATATACTGTAGAAGAAAAACGAAGAAAGTTCGAACCAAGAGGAAAAAAAAACATATGAAAGCAAAGTTGAAAATGAACTGTTCTGTAGACCCTGCAGTAATATTATATAATCTAAATAACATGGCTACTATGTAATAAATATCGACCCATGCTTCAATTGAATGGCACACCACAATCTCACTGAAAAATCTTTCTTTAGATTCTCTACCATTTCTTTCCCCCTCATTTTCTCCATTTGAAGGAGTGAACCAAAAAATGACCTTCCCGGGCCTTGATTTTGAGTATTCCATTTCACTTCTCTTTTGCCTGATTCCCTTCTTCTGTTTCTTCTTGTTGAGTTTGAAAACATCCTTCAAGAATGACAAAATCTTCGTTTCATCCAACAATAAGAGCAAACTATCCACCACCAATAAGATCCCAAAAGCTTATCCTTTGGTGGGTTCTTATTTTGAGATCAAGGCAAACAAGCACCGCCGATCTCAATGGACTTGTGAAATCGTTAACAGCTTGCCCAATCTGACCTTCACTCTCCACCGTCCATTAGGCCACATTCAAGTCTATACTGCAAATCCGGCCAACGTCCAGCATATTCTGAAGACTCATTTCCATAACTATCCAAAGGGAGATTTCGCCCACATGACCAATTGGGATTTTATGGGTGATGGCATATTCAATGTAGACGGCGAGAAATGGAAGTTCCAGAGACAAGTTTCCAGTCACGAATTCAACACAAAATCTCTCCGGAGATTCGTGGAAACCGTGGTTGCGGACGAACTCAACGAGCGACTAATTCCAATCCTATCTGAAGCTGCAGCCAATAAAACGGTGCTTGATTTTCAAGACATATTTCAAAGATTTGCTTTTGATAATATCTGTAAAGTTGCTTTTGGTTATGACCCTGCTTACTTATTGTCATCCCTTCCCGATGCCAAATTCCCGGTGGCTTTTGAAGATTGCACGCGACTACTGAGCGAAAGAATTAACGCCCCTTTTCCCCTATACTGGAAGGCCAAACGGTTTTTTAATTTCGGGTCAGAAAAACAGCTCAAAGAAGCTGTGGCGGAAGTCCGGGAATTTTCTAAACAAATTATGAGGGAAAAGAAGAAAGAGCTCGAGAAGAAATCATCAATCGATTCGGTTGATATTCTGTCGCGATTCTTGACATCTGGATACTGCGACGAGGATCTAGTCACGGATGTCGTCATCAGTTTCATCCTGGCTGGCCGCGACACCACTTCGGCGGCGCTGACGTGGTTTTTCTGGCTGTTATCCCGCCACTCCGACGTGGAGAATGAGATTCTCCGAGAGATTACGGAGAAAGCGGAGTCTCCGTTGTTTGATGAGGTGAAAGATATGCCTTACACTCACGCTTCGCTTTACGAAACCATGAGATTGTACCCGCCGGTGCCGCTTGACACGAAGTCGGCGAAGAACGACGATGTTTTACCGGACGGAACCTACGTGAAGAAGGGTACGAGAGTAATTTACCATCCCTACGCAATGGGAAGAGTAGAAAGCGTGTGGGGTGCGGACTGGCCGGAATTTCGGCCGGAGAGGTGGCTGGAAAGTGTTGAGCCCGGGAAGCGGAGCTTCGTGAGCAGGGATCAATACACGTATCCGGTGTTTCAAGCTGGGCCAAGGGTGTGTTTGGGAAAAGAGATGGCGATGCTGCAGATGAAGACGGTGGTCGCCGGAATACTGCGGCGGTTCAAGGTGGTGCCGGTGATGGAAAAGGGGGTGGAGCCGGTGTTCTTGTCGTTTTTGACCTCCAAAATGCAAGGTGGATTGCCTGTGAGGATAGAGGATAGGGTGGTGGAAAGCTGTTGATGTTTGAGGCCATAACGTACGTCAATTAATTTGTCATTAATTTGCATGTGGATTTCGTCGTGGCATTGTAATATTTGGTTATTAGTATTTTTTGTTTTGATCGTTGTCAGTCCGGAGTGGCAGTAATCCTAAGTTATTGCTATAATATGAATACATATAGTGCCAATTGGGGTAGGAAATCAGTGATCGTCATGTAAAATTTTGAACCGTAGTCAAATTGTAGATTGATTGGATATTGGTCTTTTTTCCCGACACCATTTCTTTTCTTTCTTTTTTCTTTGTGCTACAAGGCACTTTCTTCATTTGTACGAAAATATACAATTTATTCAGTACACGTAATTGAATGAATGTGATTCGTCTTCCTTTACAGATATTTTGGTGCAAATCGTGACATCTATACAACAGTGTAGTGATTAAAATACTCATTTGGGAGTTTTAGTTTGTAGAGAGTAGAAAAAGAAGGAAAAGAAAGAAAGAAAAAAAGGAATAAAAAAAAAAAACTCTCATCTAAATTGATAAAGAGAGATTTTATTTTAGTGTGCATTGCGCAAGAGTGACTCGTTTCTTTTAGGAACCAGGATGCTATGTATACACACACACACACACATACATGTTCTAGCTTTTGCTCTTTACAATTCAAACCTTTTCAGATTTAATTAATTATGAGCACGCTGTCGCTGCATGCATTTGCAATTGACATCTTAAAGTTTGTCTTACCCGAAACATTAAAGGACCTAAGCTTCACGCGGATGAATCTAATTAGACGTCGTCGCATGATGAGCTAGATTCACGCTTTAAACCATTTCGTAACGCAATATTTAAAGACATGCGTCACTACAACTTGAATTTGTCATCAATACAACCAAATACTACTACAAACCTGGTTTTAACAAAATAGTTAGAGAGATTTCTTTGAATAAAAATGAGTTCGCTATTAACTTTTTTCTTTTTCTTTTTGGAAATTTAACATACATTTTCGTTGATTGATATGACGATGGAAGTATGGGCTTGCAAGGCTGCGAAATTAGTACAGCTATAATCAGCAGGTTGGGTTTTGAGATCATATTCCTAAGTTTCCAACTCAAAGCAGCAATCCAGACTCTTTTTTCTCGGCCGCATTTGTGTCTATAATAATCTGTTAGAAGATGTAAAAGAAAACGAAAAGGCCCACAGGGCAAACTCTTGTTAATTCATCGGTCCCTGTTTGTAACGAATTCAACAAAAGGAGGGAAAAAAAAAAAAAAGAAGAAAAAGGAACACCTGTAGCTAGCAAACATTATTCAGCCGTCTTCACTTTGCTAACCTAATTAATTGATAGCTTCATAAATGGATTTCAAGCCTCATACGAATTAATTAAGTTATAAACGCGGACTAATGCTCCATGTCCAATTGTTCAAAGATTCAGAACCTTAAACTGTGTTTGGAATAGATCATCTTTCAATTACTAAAATGAAATGTTTTTAGAAAATGGAAGAATATTTCTCACTTAATATTAAGGGCGTTCGATCTTTTTAGTCCCTAGAATATTTCAAAATTGTTCCTATTGGCCGGATCTTGCTACTATTCTGGCGAAATATGATTTTTTAATCATAGATTTTCCCCAAAAGTTTGCAATTTTATCAATTTAACTTATTAAAATAAGTCTAGAATATTAAAAAAATTTATAAATAATATTATATTAAAATTATTTTAGTAAAATTTACATTCACAAAATTTGTTCAAATTTCTTTTATGTTTTTTCACTCTAACGCTTTATTTTTACTCGACTAACCACCTTTTCGTATTAAAAGAAGTTTGTAGTTCTGAATATTCATCTTTTTACCTAACAAAAGTTTTCTAAACCTTATTTTAGTTTACCTTATCTATATTTATTATGTAAAAAAAATTAAAACAGAGAGGATATTCGATAATATTTTTTTTTTTTGCTATTTTGATTTTTTATTGCGTAAAAGAAACACATAAGGTAAATCAAATAGTGTTCTGATTTTTATGAGGTGAAAATATAAAATAAAGAGTAAAAAAAGATGACAATGATTTATCCCGAACAAATAATTGGACAGAAAAGGGAAAAAACTCTGATTTTACTTCTTCTTTTTTTGAATTCTTACAATATTTTATCACAAAATATTTTATTAATTTAATATTATTTATTAAAGTTATTTTATTATTTTAGATATTTTCGTTTTTATATTATTATTTCATTAATATTAGAATTTTTGGAAATAAAATAGTGAAAATTCATAGCTGCTTTAGTAATAGGCTAGGCTAGGCAAAGAAAAAAACAATAGGAGTAAAATAAATAAATATTTTAGAATATCTTTTAGTTTGTTCATGGTAAATGTGATAGAGAATGGGGTAAACAATATGGTAAATTTTACATTTTAGTATAGTAAGTTTTGATTGAAAATATAAAAGCAAATTGAGTAAAATTGAAAAAGTGATGGGCTAAAGTTAAAATTAGGTTGAACTGAATTTTTTTAAAAAAATTGGGATAAAATTATAAAATTTTAGGGAAAATTTATAATTTAAAAATTATATTGCCCCGAAATAGTGGCCGAATTTGGCCAATAAGATCAATTTTGAACAAAAAAAAAAAGAAAAAAATCTATCAGGACTAATTTTATCACATGAAATATATTAAGGACAAAAATTCAACCGAAAAATACTTTAGGGGCTTAAACGATCGGGCGCCCTAATATCAAAGCTAGTGCATTTTCTTTCAAAATAAATCTCTCTTAATAAATACAGTTACGTGTTACATTTGTATTTCAATCTGAATCCTAATCACAAATCACTGTGTGGACCAAGTGTTTGCAAGAAGACTACAAAACAAGGTTCTTTTATGGGGATAATAGATAGATACCCGGAGCAAACGAGTCAAACCTTTTTACGTAAGACGTTTACAAGTTCGTGCAATCCCACTCCACATATGCTACGTCCCAACTACCCCTTAGATGAGTTATTGACTATCCGCAATGTGATTTAATTATTGGAAATGAACTATAATGTTGAATGAGAATTAGTTTCAAAAAGATTGGAAAAATAAGTTTAACGTAGAGAATTTTGTCCTATATTAGTGGTGGAAAGACTTGGAACTTACTTTATAAGTGAGAGTCTAAGAATAGGTTGCAAGTTGCATTGTCAATATTATATTACATATCTTCCATTCATGTATGTCCGCGCAGGAGGTGCAAATGGAGATCCAACCAAGAACCAAAATAGCTTGACTCATGTGTATGCGCGACCTGTGGACACGAATGCCGAATCGAACTCTTGCAAACCTGATCAAACCACGTTAAATAAATGAAAGTATAAGAATGGGCTTTGCGAATATTTTTCATAATTTTCCGTCATTAATTTGTCGGTATTTTTCAGAATTTTCTTACAATTGCTTCAGGGAAAACGGCGTATGTCAACAATGTTAGTACGTAACTTCATCGCCATTCAAAAATGTCTGCTGTACTGAGAAAATGGAACTAATTTACTATAGTTATTTTCACATTATAATGCTATTGGCTATATATATACCTCTGTCGATCCACAGATTCACTCAATCAACAGATCTCCCAAGAACTCAGAGTAAGGTTAGAACGGAGAGCAAGTATGGCAGATTTAGGTGATGGTTGTCCAGGTAAATTACTCCCCAACCATCAACTTTACAACTTTAATTAATTTTTTTTTTTTTGTTCCGTTAAATGCTAGAACATTAGTGTGTTGATGATGATGAAATGGTATGAATCGATCAGGCAAGACGTCGTGGCCGGAACTGAAAGGCGGCGATGCTGAGGTTGCCAAAACGACAATCGAGCAAGAGAATCCCAACGTTCGCGCCATTATTCTGCTAGACGGAACCCCGGTGACCAAGGACTTCAGGTGCGACCGTGTTTGGATTTGGATCGACTCTTCCAGGATCGTTGTCCGTACTCCAAAGGTCGGGTAGAAAAAAAAAAAAAGAAGAAGAAGATCGGTTTGATCTTTTGGACAATCTGGTCCATGTAATAATGTTGTTGTGCTTAACCCCCGGTAAATAGCTAGGGGGTGAGATAAAAAATTGTTATTATTGAATAATGTAATCGTGTTACAAAATATTATATATTGTGAAATAAAATAATATCTTTGGTTGATACACTATGGTGAGTTATATGCAATCAAACATATGACACACCAGTTTTTTTTTTTTTTTTCTAATTGAATTGAGACTACTAGCTCCTTGTCCATTGGTTTGAATCCAAAAAACGAGTACATTTTAAATCGGAAAAATATCTATCACATTCAGCAAAAGAATAAAGGTACATATAGTTTGCTGGAAAAGACATCTAACAAACGAAAAGTTGAACTAAAATATGCAAAAATTGCTTAAATTAGAGAGAAATGTCCCATTTGAAATGAAAATAATGGTACTAAAAGCTACTACTAGTTTACATGTTTGTGCGGTGGCAATTCCGTCCGCAGACACTAAAGAGAGCCCCCCGGTATATATATAAATATAAAATCCCCGACAAAATCATATGCAGAGCATCAAATGTAATTGACCTCAAAATGTGAATACAGAATTTTGACAAAATCAAACTATTATCACACCAAGGCTGTCAGTCTGTGACTATAAATACACCTCAATAGTCCCCCATTCGACAGATTGCCCCAATGAACTGTATTTGAGAATTTGTCAAGAAAAAAAGAGTAGCAGCATGACAGGTCCCCGTTGTGAAGGTACGTAAGTTTGGTCTTTGTGATTGACGAGTATTGTTTGTGGTGTGTCTCCGTCTCATTGTAATAATCGTGTTTGTTGAACTGTTTTATTTTGAAATCATCAATCGGTTACTTCTTATGATGAATTTAATTAGGAAGAATTTTGGAAGTTAACAAATGGAGTGCTGTTACATGTACAGGTAAGAAGTCGTGGCCGGAGCTGAAGGGCAGCCGGGCTTGGGTTGCCAAGACGCAAGTAGAGATGGATAACCCGAATGTTCAAGCCATTATTGTGGATGAAGGAACCGATGTGGACAAGGCATTCAATTGTCATCGGGTCTGGATTTGGATCAACTCTTCCCGGATCGTTATTCGTACTCCCCAAATCGGGTAGAAGATCAAGAGATATAGGGAAATTCATGAGTTGTACTGGGATTGATTTATTATACCTTCTTGGCAAATCATCATTTTCATTTGCACTACTACTATGTTTGTTTGTTTGCTGGAATCATTTTCATTTTCATTAAGGTGTTTGGAGGGTCAACTGTTTAAGAAAGCCCAAACTTTTCTCATCCTTGTAATACTGGATATGTGGCAGATCCATCTCCATATGATCATTGAATAGTTCCATAATCTCTTTGTAAACTAACATCCTTTGACAATGAGCATCAAGAAAAGAAGCGTCCCAACTTGGCATCTCTAATGTTAAGATCCTCACAGACTGTGAACTCCTTACATTAGATTTGAGAAATCAACCGATTCCGACTGAGGCGCAACAAGTACTTGGTCTACTACTAGAATTAATATCTACTTTTTCAAATTGTAAGTTGATTAAAGCATCTAGATTACAAGTTTTAGAACTGCACAATTTGGCCTATAATAGAGTCTTATGTAATAGATCAGGTACTTAATTTACTAATATACGGACACCTTTTCAAAAAAAAAAAAAAGAAAAAAAAAAGCATCAGGAAAAGTCAATGACAATGCATCACGGGCCATCAACAATCTTGCAAGTGTAAGCTTTCATATTTCAAAGAAGAAAAGTACAATTTGAGATTTCATTTTTTAGTACTTCCTCCGTCCCAAAATTATTGTCCAGTTTAAATTTTCATTTTTAGTTCAAATTGTACTAAAAGTGAAATCTCAAACAGGACAATAATTTTGAGACAGAGGAAGTACAATTTAAATTAAAAATAAAAACTCAAATTGGAGAATAATTATGGGGACGGAGGAGGGAGTATTAAACTTCTACTCAAATCACAAGAAAAGTTAAAGCATACCCTCGCGTCTATTATGTCAACATCCCTCTCATTTGTCTCCAATTTGTCATCCCCATTTATACTTAGCTGATGGAATCCATTCACGAGGTCTGATTCCTCAGAATGCAATTCAGTTGCACGAAATTTTTTTTTTCACCAAAGATTAACAATGACAAAAGTTCAAGCAGTAGCAAAAGTTAGAAACTTTAATTAACCTGTTCCCTCGTTTTCGTTTTCAAATTAGTGTTTAATGAATTATGATCCAGACTAAGGAAAATGGAGTAAACTGAAATGAGAGAATTCAATCAAGAAACTACAAAATCGAACAAAGATAAAACTTTTTTTGCAAGAGCTCAAGTAAAAAAAAAATCAAAATCAAAATTACGTTTCGGTCCGAAAAATCTGATTGAGTCATTGAATGGAGACAGTATTGATAAGTCCCCAAACTCAAACTTTTCGATTCCTGCGGTTTATTTCTTCCGTAAATTGAGCAAATTAAACACATTGAACACACGAAATGGAAAAAAGAAAAATGATGCAGGTGAGGTCAGAGACTTTCACGCCTTTTTCACACTGTGCTTAAAAGACTACAAAAAAAAAGAATCCTTTTTAAATGCACCAACTATATCCTTCACAAAAGAAACCTAATTTCCTACGAATTTAGTCCAAAGTCACCCAAGTCCGCCTTCTCTGTTCAATAGAGTGCTAATTATCCAGAATCAACAAGATCCTTTTCAAAGTTTCAACTCTTTTCCTCTTTGAAAAAGCAGGATGAATTGTAAGAGATGTTTCTTCTTACCCTTTGATTTTCAATCTTGATTTCATATGAAATTGTTTAGATGGATCAGGGAGTTTACCCAAATTTGATGAATATCTTGGTGGACTACTTTTGGACTTGAGGGACAGTCCAGAATGAGGTAAATTAACCACTGTATGGGAGCCTACTTTCGCGCCTTTCCGAGGAAGAATGAGAAATAGAATGAAAATAAAATTGGGTTGGGTTTAAAAGAAGCAGTTGTTGGGCTATCAAAAGGGAATTGGGACTGGGCTTTCGTGTTTTAACGTTTTTACTTTGCTTCTTTGTTTTTCCTGGGCACTTTTATTTTATCATTTCTTGTCTGAAAAAAAGAAAAAAAAGGGTAATAGGCCATATAAGAAACAAGAATGAGTTCAGATCTAACACGAAACCGGGACTTTTCTTCCCAAAATCACAGTGATGCACATGAAACACGAGCTTCCAACGTTTCCCTTTATGGCTTCATCACCCCATTACGTCTGAATTTCTGATAACTGTCCTTGCTTCTCTTGAAATTCCTCATTTCCCTTTTGTATTTATGTTTACTTCTCACGGATTTCATTGACCTTACTGAATCTTAGCTCCTTTCTTTCAATACTGCCGATTTTCAATAGTTTAGCTGTATTCTGTCAATCTGTTGTGATACGAACTCTTGCGGGTAAGTTTTCCAGGAACACCAGCCCGCATAGTGGGTTTGATGTTACTGAGCGTTTGAAGCATTCTTTGTGGGATTTTAGTTGTTTTCCGCTTTTAAGAATTCATCTGTAAATCGCCCTTGAAGAGCGTTATTCAAACTCGACCCAAAGTGTATATCACTGTTTAAGGTACGTAATTTGGGTTTCTATTTTAGAAGACTGTCTTTAAAGCTTCATAGCATAGTCAAGTATGGCTCAAATGTGTAAAAATGCAAACTTTTTATTTTTGTATGATTAAGTCGTACACCTAGGAATTGAAGCGGTTGATTAATATTCAGTTTTTTTCCTCTTAAGGAAGTGCCGGTAGTAATTATTTGCATAAGTTGTGGTGGGGGCCTGACGTGGAAGGCTGGAATTAGGTTCTCTGGACTGTGAGGAGTAGCAGGAATGGGAGAGAAATTTTGGTTGCTTGGAAGAGACAAGGCTTTGGTTGAAAGCGCACTGGGTTCTGAAGCTGTTGAGTTTTTTATTTGGTTGGCATCCAATAATGTGTTGTCTGAATTTTCTTCACTTGGTGGGGATCTTGGGGTTCAGGATAGTTTAACCAAGATAGTTGAGGGCTCCGATTGGACTTATGCTATTTATTGGCAAGTGGTAACATCGAAATCCGGGAAATCGGCTTTAATCTGGGGTGATGGGCATTGCAGAGAACCCAAACCAACTGAGAAGAAGGATGGAAAGGATATGATGGGTCAGAGTTCAGCTGAAGGCGAAAGGAGAAAATTAGCTCTCCAAAAGATTCATGCCTGTTTTGGGGCTGCAGACGATGAGAATGTTGCTGCTAAGTTGGATTCTGTTTCTGAAACAGAAATGTTTTTCCTAACATCCATGTACTATGCGTTTCCTTTTGACAAGCCTTCGGTTCCTTCTCAGGCATTCAATACCAGCAGAAGTATTTGGGTTAATGATCCAAGAGACTGTAAAGAAAATTACCATTCAAGAGCAAACCTGGCGAGAGCTGCTAACTTCCAAACTGTGGTTTTTGTTCCTTTTAAGACAGGAGTAGTTGAGATAGGGTCTGTAAAGTCAATATCTGAAGATCAGAGTGTAGTTCAAATGGTTAAAACCACAGTTGGACCTAACATTGTGCAACCCAAAGCCGTTCCGAAGGTATTTGGTCAAGATCTTAGTCTTGCAGGAGGAAAATCGGGTCCAATCAGTATCAGTTTTACCCCTAAGGTGGAAGATGATCCGATTTTCGCTGCTGATTCATATGAATTGCAAGTCTTAGGTGCCAATCAAGTTGGTTACCGCAGTGATGATGGTGAAGTGAAGCTTTTCCCACCAGTTGCTAACATGGAAGGTGATACGGCTATGCTCTCTGATGAACATAGACCTAGAAAGAGGGGTAGAAAACCTGCCAATGGAAGGGATGAACCGTTGAATCACGTCGAAGCTGAGAGGCAAAGGCGTGAGAAGCTGAACCAGCGGTTCTATGCCCTTAGAGCTGTTGTCCCGAATATTTCAAAGATGGACAAGGCTTCCTTGCTTGGCGATGCGATCGCGTACATTACTGATCTCCAGAAAATGATCAGGATCATGGAAGCTGAGAAAGATATGGTAAATGGTAGTAGACAAAAACAGCCTGCCGTCGCCGACATTGATCTTCACGAGAGAAATGAAGACGCTGTTGTACAAGTGAGCATTCCGTTGGATGCTCATCCGGTTTCTAGAGCTGTAAAAGCAATGAGGGAAAATCAAATTACACCGCAGGATACTGATGTTACCTTGAATGAGAATGGCGATGTGGTTCACACGTTTTCCATCAAAACTCAAGGGGGTGATGCTGAACTCATCAAAGAGAAGCTAACTTCAGCTCTTCTAAATTGAAACTTCTGTTTTCAGCTTTTGTTTGTAGTATAAGCTCATGTTTATGATCATGTAGCCCTTGTAGTAGTTTGTTTTCATCTGGATATAGATTGATGACTTCCCAGTGAAGTATTTTCTTTATTCTGAGTCAAGCATTGATGTAACAGTGAAAAAAGCTTCGCTGAGCCGAGTTGGAGATTCTGATCTCTCGCTTGTATTAAAACCTGAAGTATTGAAAAGAGCAGCAGCATGTTTTAATGTCATGACCACTTGACCATTTGTCATGCTACATAATTACCTTGGTTCACAACCTGCTCTACCATTTCATCATTTCTTTCAGTCAACACTCTACAGTTATCAGTTTTATGGTGCATTTCTACTGTGATGATCCTAAAATGCATCGTCACAAATAAAAAAGATGATCTCTCTTAATCAAAACGGGAGAATGGTCAAATCCCAAAGCTCAAGGAGTTGGTTTTTTTTTTTCTTTTTTTTTTTTTTTGGTTTTGTTTATATATACCGGGGAGGCAAGGAATTGGTTTTTTTTTTCATATTGCGCACAGTGTCCTATGTGCATTGTGCTTAGACTAATCTTCACCGAGTCGGGTCGGTCTTCTTTTGAAAAGACTCTCCCAACATTGCTCTTTTTATTCACGAGACTCGAATTCGAGACCTTACTTAAAGAACTAAAGCACCTTACCATTTGGGTCAAGTAAGTTGTGGTCTAAGAAGTGGTTTTTTGGTACTGATATTTTCGGTTTCTTATCTACCCAATACTCATTATCTGAAGGAAAAGAAAATTCTCTACTGAACCTTCCTTCAATGGCCCAAAGCTTGTAAAAAACAGAGTTAATATGTTGATGGGCCTAACATTTCAAAACACTTGACCCATTATGTTTAACATTCGAAACATTTCGTTTGGACTGAACTGACCTTCTAGGACTAGGAGCACCTATTTTGACATTAGTTCAGTTTCTTGTTCATTTCGTCCGACTATAGTTTGAGCTAAATCTCAATAGAAACATTTGGGTTCAATAGTCTTTGATCAACTATTTTAGTCAATAAATTGTTGTTTTGCTCGCGACTGTTCTCAAATACACATATCTTAGATGTATTTAAAATCCTTTTAATTTTATAACTGGTGATGCAAGTTAAATGATTTCTGTTCAGTTTATTACACATTCAATATCTAACACTCTTATAATTCAAATAATATCATAACAAATTAAGTACTTTTTTTTTTCGAGAGACAAACTTTGCCAAGAGTAAATAACACATCGTGGTATGCCCTCTAAGATATGAATCCACTCATGTCATTTATAATCAAACTTTTTGGGAATTTAGTGATAGAGTATCGCCACGGGCTTGGAGTTAATTACTTACGGTCAATTTTGTAGAATAGATCAATCCACATAAATCTAACTGAAGACAAAAAAATAAAAATAAAAAATTAAGGAGTAGATCAAATAGATTTAGACGAAATAAATTGTTTTTCAATGATGGATGAAGTATATATTATGAACTATACTTTAATTTTTATTTTACGAATACACTCTCCGTTTTCTCAACTTTTGCATATAATAAGACAAAATATTTGATAAACCCCTCAGAAGTAAAGGTGTGGAATCAAGTGATACAAAATGAAATATGGAAAGTAATATGTATAATATGAATTGAATTAAATTCGTCATGGCGTACCAAATTACATGCACGCATTCAGTCAGCGCTGACTTTATTCTTTTATATCTATAATAGTATTTTTTTTCCCGAATACATAGCTGATACCACTATACTATTTATACAATTGTTTTGTATTTGTACATACAACCAAATGAGTATATTATACAAAAAGAATGACATTAAGTACGCTACAATTTTTAATTTATTTTATTTTATTTTTGCTTAGATCAACTTTGTTGACTACTCGATCGCGTTTTGTTGCACATCTTTTGGTGGCCACGAGAATCATGATTCATTCATATTCCCGCCCGAGAGAGCCGAACTTTTACAACAATTTCCGGTTAGTGGCTACGCCAACTCGAATCACATATTCCGGGAGCGGAGGAGGCTTAACCACAGTAGCACGACGACCGGCAAAGTTCATCTCACCGAGTGGGGTGGTTGTGGTGGTGACGGAGGACGTGCTGGCGGCTGCCGGACACGGGTTACCGGGAATGTGAGTATCGCAATTTGGCGACGGAGGAATAACCGGACGGCGAGCCTGCAGAGATGGCAATATCAGACTTTGTCTTTCCATCATCATTTCTAGTCTAACAGCTTCGCATGGCTTAGTATCAATGCTGATTGTGAAAATTAGCATTAACATTGTTGCCATGCAGAATTTAGCTTTGAGGTTATTCATGATTTTTGTAGATTGAATGAACTAGTAATAATTGCAATATTAATGGTGCAAAAGTTATATACTTTTTTTTTCGGGTTTTTTTCAAAGAAACAAAACAAAATGTGGGTTTTTTGTGGAACAAGTTATGGCAGCTGCATGCTTTATATAGTAATGAGCAAAATGCTAGTATCGAGTGTACAGTGTAACTTGGAATTTTTCGTGATACATTAGTTTGATAAAAACATAGGTTTGACATTTTGACTAAAATGGCTTTGCATAATTTCAAGGAAGTCTACATATGGAAAACTTGAATGGGTCGACGAACGCGCGTGTTCGCGTTAGTGGAGGATCTTTGTTTGCCATTCCATTTTACACGTATATTAATTGAATATATGATCAATCCGAATTCCTTCCAAATATTTCACTTAAATCGGATACAAATTGATGTGGATTTTGTTCCTTTTTCCATTACTGAGACATAAGTTTATTTTGTCAAACTATATTAATTTCATGAAAAGGAATTATCTTTATCTAACAAAAGGTATGTTAAGTCATATGTACTTATCCCAAAATCTACAATAAATACAGAAAGAAGAAAAGAGGGAACACAAACTAAAGTGAACTCTCATGATGATTGGAGTATCAAATATTGGAATATTATTGTCGAATGTAATAACTCTTTCTATCTTAAAAATAATAATAATAATAATAATAAATAAATAAATACAAAAATATAGCTTATAAATAATTTTATAGGGAAAAAAAAGAAGTAAACATTTTTCTTCTGGTACAATAACCACCAAATAATTTTAATCAAGCACTTGTTATTATTATTATACTCGCATCGATAATAATTTGATCTGCACAGGTCCTTTCGAGAAACAAATCTTTTCAAACAAGTAAAAAAGTTTACATCTTTAATCAGCTATACTTGTTCCATGAGAGTAGTATGCAGAGACTTGTTAAAATTATTCACCCAATATTATATTATTATTAATGTTGTTTAAATTAACTTAACTACCACGCAAATTCGAGACTCGAGCTCAATCAAAATAATGCTTTCTCATTCAGTTCTAGCTGGTTCCTTCATCCCAATTCCATTCTTTAATATATTTGGCTTGAAAATTAACCTTTTTTTAAAAAAAAAATATTGGAGAAGAAAAAAGGGAACTAGAATTCCAAATTATGCTGTATTTTCTGCGAAGGCAAAGTCTTCAGTACTGTTTGAAAGAATTAAGCTTTACCATGGAATCCAGGGCTTCCACCTAATTGACCCACGTCATGCACATTGATGACGTCGCATTCGTTTTCGGTGTGTGAGAATTGAGAAGCGTATGAATGAGAAAGTCATTTTCATCTTGAAGGTTAAGAAAAAGATCTGGTTAAACTCAAGAAATCAAGAATTCATGGGGTACGTATATAATACTCCATTTTAATTTTTATTTTTTTAAAAAAAAAAAATTCCACCATTTTCAACTAGAGGACGATTCGGGCAATCTGCTACAAATGTGCATTGGATTCAACGTAAAAAATATTACATACATTAAGAAATGTTAGAAACAAAGTTCAATAATTAAATACGTACATATTTCTTAATTCGTACTTTTTTTTTTTATTTTTTAGCTTCTTCGTAAAAACTTAAGAAGTATGAGGGAATAATGAAAGTGTCCTTGGATTGTGTAGGTTTCATGATAGCTTGATGAGAAAGTTTTGTGAGTGATTATTTGGAAGTACAATACATATTTGGGAGATAATAATCCAGTTACAAGTTAAGTCCTTGAGTGGGAGATTCTACATGCTGTAGATGCGGGGTTTGACACTCATTAAAATGTTATTGATGGCATTGTTAGTAATGTTACCCTTTTTTGCCTTAAAAATGAGATATCAAGCTTGGTTGAGGAATTTTTTGTTAATTGAAATGACCTGAAAAATGAAAACTACTAGTAAAACGGCAATAGCTTCCAGGTTGTCGGTCAAAGTAAAATTGTTTTTGACTCGAAAAATTCCATGCCTGGCTATTTTGGCTTTTTGATTCGTGTTTTCTCCATTTTACCCGCTCATAAAAGGTGAATACAATTAATGTAAAGTCCTCCCAATGTATTTATCTCTCTCTCTCTTTTCCGTCCGTATATGTAAGGTATTCATTGTCCACAGAAATTAGTTCCAACTCCATTTATCCAATCTATATTTCATTGAAACTGTTCACTCTCAGGACCCATAAACGGTTGTTTTATATGGTAAAAGCACATATAAAATATATATTGAATTCTCATTAGTAACTAAATATATATTGAATAAAACTTAATTCCAGAGTAGCGTGCCTCCACTTTATAATGATATAATACTACTACCAGTTAAAAAGAAAACAAAATGTTTACTCAGCTCAATTTATTAAGCCTTCTTATTAATTAAGACATTCTTAATTAATGACTTGAATTTACACACAATATTAATCAAAACGAGATCAAGATCATTTTCCACCTTACCTTCTGCTTTCTAGCTATCTAGGATTTTTTTTTCCAAAAAATAAAATAAAATAAAATAAAATTGCTGAGCATTCCAACTCCAAACGACATTGTGAAGTATGAAGGCGAGGACGTCTCCTTTGAAAAAAGCTTTGGGTCTACTAGTTTCGAATAAACTTTGATTGTTGTCAGTAATATTTATAGCGATTATGTATTTCCTCTTATTATTACTCGTGGTTCATAAATTATAGTAGTAAAATTTATGAAATTACGTCTTTATTTCCAAATTCAATGATCTACAAATGGTACGTCAACCCTTTTGTGAATCGAGGGTTCAACGGCTGCAATTTGCCAACAATAGTATAATCACTTGAAGTTGGTCCGACCATAAGTTTAATTTTTGTTTAAAAATTTTTTTTTAAAAAAACCATTTTTTGGGGTGTAGAAAAGGCCAATCTACACAAATTAATCTGATTGAACTCCAAATAAGTTAAAAGTGAATGAATACATTTAAACAAAGTATATTCTTTCTCACGCCTTCTTTTTTAATCTTATTTGCAAGACATAAATTTGAAGTAAATATAATTTTAATATGTTGCTTATGGACAGGGGGTAGGTAAGTCAACGAGACATAATATATATATATAGAAAAATTAAACCTCAAAGTATCGTTGGAATCAAGGGCTACAATCCGGGAGGAATATTTACTTAGATTAAATATGATAAAGTTTTCGCTGGATTTGGTCAGGGAAAACTTTGTTCTTCTTGAATTATTTTCATGTGATTTTTTTTTTTTCGAGATACACATCACTAAACTATCATCAGTACAAGTGTTCAACCAGAAACTTTTATAAAATGTAAAGTCAAACAACTTGAAATCTTATAGTCGTACAAAAGAATATTAGAGAAGTATACACACCATACATAAATTTAGCAACAAATTATTCAAACTTATGCCTGAGTCCCCTTGGTCCCTTTGATCTTTAGGTTACCAACAACATTCATGACTCATGAGCCAAAAAAAAAAAAACTTGGTTAATGATCATATTCCGGCGGAGTCGAATTTCACATTAATTTCCGGTTAGTGGCTACTCCAATCCAACTTGGATCAATTGCTCGGAAGGGCTAGCCACAGCTACGTTTTTCGAACGACCGGCGAAGTTCATCTCACCAATAGTAGTGGTGGTGGTGGTGGTGGCTGCCGCCGCGGTGCATGGGGCACGGGGAATGTAGGTCTGACAATTTGGCGACGGAGGAATAACCGGACGACGGAGAGACGGCAGTGGCAGATGTTGCCTTTCCATCATCGTCATCATCCCACTTCCTGGTCTAACAGCATCACAAGGCTTGGTATTATTGCTCATTGTGAGAACCAGCATTATCAAAAATATTGCCATGCAGAATTCAGCTTTGAGGTTATTCATAGTTTTCTCAATTGAAAAATTAATTAATAACATCCAAATTTTGCTTCTTTTTTTTTTTCTGTTTGGAAATGGAGGAAATTAAGGAAAATCACAAATATGGAGATTGGTTTGTTTGTGTTACAAGTTGCGGCTGCATGGTTTATATAGTAAGTTAGTAAACCAAAACTTGGAATTTTCGTTATACATCATGATATTGTTTGATGCGCGCCATGAGGAGTTTGACTTTTGACTACGGGGGATTTGGGCGAGGTTGAAATTTGAATGGGTCGACGTAATTCGCATTAGTGCCTTGGTGGATCTGCAATTCTGCAAATGTTTTCTTTTCTCTAGTTAATTTGCCATTTGATTTTACACGTTTTCCAAGACCCAAATCGCATAGGATATGTTTGTTTCATTATTTTAGTGTGTGTTTTTAGTTATTTTTTGAATTGAGAATATAAAAAAGTGTATTGAAAATGTAAAAAAATATGCTGAGATGGGACAGTTATTATTATTTAATTCTGAAAAAACTAACTAAAAAAAGAAAACAAACAAAGCCATAGTTTCTCCGTATTGAACAAGAAAAATCCTTTCAAATATTTCATTTTTGAAAATGAATGCCTTTTTTTTCCGAACTAAAATGGATTTTCATTTCTAGTTCAAATTGTACTAAAGTTGAAATCTCAAAGTGGACAATAATTTTGGGACAGAGGGAAAATTACTTTTATATATATATAAAGAGTACAATACTTATTTGATTATATGCATATAGAGTTTATTACAATTACCATATAAAACATACGATTATCGTAATTAAAAATACCGAATAATTATAACTAATAACGAGAGAATTGCAGCTTATTAGCCGTCATTTAGCGTTACCGTCTAATGGCTCAGGACAAGAATAAACATTTAAGTTAGTTACTTTAATTTTTTTCCCATGAAATTAATTTTTTTAAAATAAAAAGTAGAATAGCAAGTTTGGATTTTTCAGTTCTAGTATAATTAATTTGTACTGAACATAAAAATCTAGGCTCCATTTGATAATCTCTAAAGTCTGAATCTGAACACTTAACACTGAAGACTGAATTTACATTGTTTGATAAAAACGTCTAAATTTGATGCTGAAAACTGAAGTCTAAAGTCTAAAGATTGAATCTGAATACTCAGGTCTGAAAATTATTTAAATTTTTAATATCATTAAAATTGAATTATAAATAAATTTATTTTAAATAGAAAAATAACTAATATTTTGTTCTAAATAATAAAATAATAATTTTAAAATAAGTTTTTGGTATATCTAATAAAAGTAGATATTACACTTGGTAAATAACAATATATAATTAAATATAAATTATTTACATATATCGATATATATGTATCCCTTGTTATTTAATAAATTTTATGTATTAAAATTTGTTTAATTTAGTTTGAAAGTTTAAGATTTTTTATACTCATAATATAAATTCGAATTTAAGCACTCTTAATTAATTTATCTTAAAAAATTTTTTTTTAAAACAATGTAAGAATAAGTGTCGAAATAAAGACGAGAGAAAAAAAGGAAAAAAGAAAATGAAAAAAAATCATTAAAGAAATTAAGTGTTAAGTGATAAGTGATAAGTGGTATGCCTATCACTTATTTTCTGGCTTACAATTGAATTGGCATTCGGACGCACTTAATTAATTCAGACAGTGAAATTTTTTTTAGTTATCAAACGTACTTAATTTATAAGTACTTAATTAGTTTAGAACTTAATTCATTAAGACTTTTTGGTAGCGATTATCAAACACACTTAATTTTATTAAATACTTAAATAAATTAAGTCACTATATTAAGTAATCATCAAACAGAGTTTAAATTAGATAATCATTTCGGACGTAAGAAATTATATATTTTATTCCAAAAACTTGTTAAATGTTACGCCTCGTGTAAATTTTCAGACTTAGCCATCACGCAACCCGCAATATTTTCAGTTCATTTCAGTCCGTGCAGCTGGTTTCCAATTGATTTCTTTAATATTTTTGGTTTGAAATTAGCACATTTATTATTCCGATTAAGGCAAAAAAGGAAAAGGAAAAAAAAAAAGAAGTGTAATAAATAATAATTACTATCATCAATCAATATAAATTCTCCGAAAATGAAGTCGTCTGGTGTTTGAAACTTGAAAGTACTCGGATTGTGACTCGAATCAAAGCTTTACCATGGATACAGGGCATTCACCTAATTTGCTATAAACTACTTCATCGCATTCATGAAGATGCATTCCTTTTTTTTCTTTTTTTCTTTTTTTTTTTTTTATGCGTTTCAGCGTTTACGGCATCACTTTCATCAGAGGACATTAGAATTTCTTCTGACCACCTTATATGTCGGGCCGTAATTTTATTCATGAGTTTAGGTTCGTTACTCCACAAAGTTTTAAACTACTTCATAAATAGACTGGGTCCTGGGGAGCATTGTATTTTTTAATTTTATTTTATTTTAATGAGTTTAGGATTAGAACATTGTGATAATCGATACCTGAAAAATGGAAGAAGTAAGAGATTGACTTGAAGATTGTTAGTAAAAAAAAAAAACAAAAAAGTCATTAATTTCAAAGTTGTTGGTCAAAGTAATTAAAATAGTTTTTGACGCGAAAAAATTTCCAAGTCGGATTGATTTTTTCTTTCCCCAAACTCCTTAAAATAGCAAGTAAAAGAAATGCAAGGTCATCCCAATGTGTTTAATGTTTTACCCCTTCTTAGCTCGATCTCCATTTATCCAATTTTCTTCTTCACTGGAAATGTTTACTCAGCTCTCGATTTTCTTATGGTTTTTAATCAGTCTAAACCTTTGAATGTTTGAAGTATATAAAATTCTTCATATTCTCCGAGGAAGACTTTTGTTATTTGTCCAGCTTTTACGCGACACGGTGTTTGAAGGGTTTGAACATTGAAAAAAACTAGAAGTAATCCATTGCGTTTCCACTTTCCATTTGTGGTCTTGTCCTGCTGCCACTTCCACGACTCATTTTTGTGTTAAGCCCCCAACGAACTAATGACTTGAGGCATTCCCTGATGAATCCGTTAAGCATATGAAGAATTAATCCCACACTTAACACCAAAATCATCATGCGTCTCACGTTAATCAATTTCCGAGTCTTTACCTTTGATTTGCTCTCTGTTCAGATGACTACTGGATGGTGGGTTGGGCACGCTACTAGTCGTAGGTAGGTTCTCTGGATTCAACCTAGTTGTATTGTTCTCTGTGGGGGCTTTGGTTTTCTGTTGAATCAAAATATGTAAGCAAACTGAAAGTTCAAAGTTAAGTCTTTTGGGGGGAGGACGGCCCGTCTTGATATTCTTCTAACATATCAACCTTTCTGAATCTGTTTAGCCTGTATGTTTGGCTTAGCTTTCAATGCAGCCTAAATGTAGAAGACTAAAAGTCAATATCAGAAATGTAAAACATTCGGGGAAGGCGTAGACAACAGAGCCTATATTGCCTAACTGTGATATGGATTAGTAACAGATCTTCTGGTTCAGAGTTGATGTGATCTGAGTTAAATGGTTCCTTCAAATTTTGTTTTTGACCGGCAGCAAAACCTTGAACTTCCATTCATTTCAGATCATATAAATCCTATCTTTCCTTCAAGGCGGATGACCACATGACCCTAACATTTCTAAGCAGACACACAGGCTTTTGGTAACTTACAGAACTAAGCATTATCCAAACTTAAACAGATAGACAAAACATGGTCCAGATTTGACAAGTGGACGTAAACAGGCAGACAAATAAAGATCCCAAACTGGTGGCGACAGCAGTACTCATTAATGGCTATAGGGACTCATGTATATGCAGATATGCATTTACTGTATTTACAAGAACAACGTCAGCACTATTAACATAGCAGAATCTGAAGCAGAAGATACAAGACTTACTATACCAGAAATTCATACGAGAATACAGCAATGCACGAATTGTTCCATACTCTACAGTTGAATCGTGCTCAGAACTCACGAACTGTTCCACACTCTACAGTTGAATGGTGCTCAGAACTGCAGTTCTGAAATTTATAGGGTGACCGAATGGTGGCTTTGTAATGATAGATCTCCACCTCTTCTTCCTAGGATGATAAATCTGTACTAAAATGGTTGCCGATTTCTTCTGCTGCCTTGACCTTGAGCAGTTTGCTACTCGTACTCCATTAAGAAGAGACAACACATGCAGCTCACCATCCAGTGCAACAAAACCAACTGATGTGTCATCGGAGAATTTTCTTGGAACACTTGTTACCTTCGACCATCGATTATAAGCCATTTGATACCTGCAATGTGTAGAATTTAGCAAATCTTGTCAGCTAAAAGAGCAAATGTCAGATCAAACAAATGGAGACAAGAGTCTAATGAAGGTGGAACAGAGGATATTAAAATGAAGTTTGGATGCTCATGTTGTCACTCAATAAAACAATTGTTAGTTTCATAGCAGCACTGCTTTTCCAAAATCACACAATCCTATTTTAAAGGGCATGAATTAATCCAAAGAACTCCTAACTATTCATAAGGTGGCAAACTGAAACAATATACAATTGCAGAAAGGCCTACAGCAGGGGCTTATATCTACATTCACCAGTAAAAACAAAATCAAGAGAAACTATGAAGGAATTCAAAAAGAAAAGGAGATTAACAGAAGCCAAAACCTACACAACTTCAGTCCCAATAAAATACAGTTCTGAAATATAGTCAATACGGAATTTAAGTCTCTATCTTCATAAATCACAATGAATCTCGCCAGAAGCTGATCGCCCATGGCTCAATCATTACGGACTAGTGATTTCCATGAAGTAAAAGTTGTCTACAGATAACAACCCTCAGGCCCAGCTTTGTTTTCACGATTAGTTTTAAGCCTTCTAGAGGTAAAATGTGTTTGACGGAAGCAACAACAGACAGATTTGAGAACTGTAGGATGGAAAAGACAAAATACAAAAGAGATGCATGACCTTCGGGGCCTTAGTTTGATGTTCTCAAATACACCCAGCACAGTATATAAACCAACTTCAAAAGTTCACCAAAGCATCAGTAAAATTCAACTTTAAGCACTGGATGACGGTTACACTAGGTACAAGGCTGTAATAACAGGTACGGTAGGAAAGAAATCCCAAAGTTCACAAGAGAGCACCAACGATCAATGATAGCATCACTAGATCTAGAAGACATCATATGCACCCAACCAATAAGGCATCTAAATATAAAGCCATTAACGCAAAAGGAAAGCAACCAACACAATGAATGAACAAATGAACCTCAAAAACATTATAATTGCATTTTAACACAACAAATGAGGAAATAGCTAATATGTTAGTCAGAAATTGCTAATATGTTAGTCAGAAATTGCATGCTATATACGGAAAGATCAAATGAAAAGGCTAACAGTAGCTTACCTGAAAATATCATGACCGTCAAGCATGAAAATGGCAGGATGATCCCAACCATCACCGTCGAGGACAACAGTCTTCCCAAGCTTTCTCCTCTCCCCTTCATCCCACATATCCCCAAGCTCCCGCCACTTGCAACCACCATTCTTCAACTCCATCACCACAGCATCCTTATAATACTCATCCACGGGGAATACTCCTGAGAGAGTTCTTGACTGGCCATACCCTCCCATCACCCAAAACTCCCTATTGTCCCCATGTCCAACCAAGAAACCAACACATCCTGCCCGAAACCTCGGCAAACCATCCAAGGGAATCCACTCATCCTTAACAATATCGTACATCTCCACTGAACTCATCCTACTCCCAGCTGCCTCATACATCCAGTGCCTGGACCCTCCACCGGCAACCACAATTTTATCCGCATCAGGAATGAAAGCACAGGCAAAGCTCCCCCTGGGGGTTAGCATAGGGGACAGAGACTCCCAACAAAAATCGAGGAAATTAAAGCGAAAGGTCGATGATGACGCGCAGGGACGATCCTGTGGAAATGAGCGAGTGTCGAAGAGAGATCCACCGATGACGTATAAGTCGGAACCAATGGAAATGGAAGTGAAATTACACAAGCCGTAAGCGTAGGGGTTGCAAGGGGTGGGCGGGAGTGGACACCAGGCGCGATTTTTGGGGTCGAAAAGGTAGGGAGATGAAATTGAGGGGTCTTGCGGGAATATGCAGATGAGATGGGATTGGGCGGACGGCGGAAGAAGCACTCGGCGGAGGGGAATTAGGGTTTTGGAGGAGAAGAACCATCTCCATGATTTCGAAACGGATTTGAGCCGCGGGTGATGAGAATAAGGGATAAATGTCAAAATCAGAGACGCTAAATCGTCCGGGAGGGATGGAATTAGGGTTAGAGAAAGATTCTGTACCTGTACTCCTCCCCTGGGAATCCACGGACACGGCGGCGCCATTTTTCCCGTTGCCTCGATCAAAGGAAAACCGGCAGACCGTAATGAATCGGCTATTCGATCATATTCTACAAAAATCTCGAAAAGAATTTCTGGATTGAAATGAAAATTCAACAAAAAATCGGAATCAGTGAACTAACAATCGGGGACGATTCGAACAGAGAGTGAGACGATCAAGAAGTGTACACGGGTCATAATCATTGGGAATTATATACAATCTGGACTGTACATCTGTGAGATAATGACCGTGTAAACTTACATCACAGAATGGAACTGGAGACGGAGAGAACGACAGAATTTGATTCTTGAGCTCCTCCTGCTCATGGCGGTTTCTTCTTTTACAAGAATTTGGGAATTTCCGCGAAGACTTTAATCTGATTTCTAGTTTTTTATCCTCTCTTTTCATCTTTTGTTTTTGATTTCTCGTAAGTGGACAAAGAAAGCCATTCAGGCCCACTCAGGCCTTATATAATATAAGATGACCAAAGAGGCCCAATTCCTTTATATCCTACTTCCTACTATATTAGAAACAAAAACCTCCCTTTCAAACACCTCATATGATTGACACGTGGCATATAGAAACTACTAAATTGCCCCCTTTTGTCTAAACCATAACTAAATTACTAAATCTCCTTTTGCACTTTACGTGACACGTTTTTTTTAAAAAAAAATTTTTTCTTTATGTTTCATTCATTTAGAGTGGTTTTTTAAGTTAAATTGATCAATTAGGTTTTTGTTACAAAGTGTCAATTTTGTTTTAAGCGTATACCCTGCGGATGAAGCTTATTACAAAGCTATTAAAAATCTCCAAAATTAAGTATTGATTTGGCACGACCGAACATCAATAAATCATCTTACTAATATTTAAATTTATTAGGATGCTTTTATATTTTATCTAACATTTACTTCAATACATATATTCGATTAAGGCTATTTATATTTAATAAGTAACACTTATAAAATATTTCTATAACTTACATGGCAAAATACAATTTCTTTTTTTTTTTTTGTGAAATACAATTATTTCTATGATCACACTTATAAAACATTTCTAAATCCTTCAAACATTTCTAAAATATATCGTTCCAAATACAAAATTTTATTTTTTTGAAAATATAAACATTTCTAAGATTTACAGATAGACTGGGCCAGAGTCGCGCATTGCGCGACCAGACATCACTAGTATATATATATATATATATATATATATATATATATATATATATCTTACTATATTAGAAATAAAAACCACACTTAAGAGAAAACAACACCATTTGCCATGTGGAATTTCCACATCATATTTTTAAAATAAATTTTTATTTACACATCTCCTAGACTTAAAAAGGCAAATGCAGTCCATCCACATCCACCTCTTATTTTCGCCAAAAAAAAAAAAGACTACGAGTTCATAAAAAAACCCAAATCCTCATCCCCATAACAATTAACTCCCTAATCAATCCCTTCTCCTCAATTAAAAAAAAAAATCCTCATCAATCATCAATTGAGAATATGTGGTGAAATATACTCTTTCCTATTAGGATGTTCAATCTTTTTATTAGTAATGATCAACTACATCCTAATCGGATAAAATTTCGACTTAAAAAAATATTCTCTTTAGCTTTTTATATAAACAGAAAGGAAAAAAAAATTGTCGTTGATCTTGCTTCGGCCGTTGTGGTGGTGCCATTACAGGTATTAAAATTTAAATGATTTAATTTTTACAGATCATTTGTTTGGGTTTTATTACTTTTTGTTTTTTCCGTTCAAGAATAGTGTTATTACTATTATTTTTATGCGTCCATCCGTTACAGCTACCGTAGCCGTTGTCAAGTAATATGATGTGATTTCTTATATGGTTAGTTAGCCTAGAATTTTTGCATGAATTTAGTTCTGTTTGGATTGAATTGATTAATTGGGTTTTTGTTATAAAGTTTTGTTTTTTAAATTTCTTTTTTATGTGTCATTCAATTAGAGTGGCTTTCTTTTTTTAATTATGGAGTCTCAGTTTGTTTTCTTATATGGTCAGTTATGAAGTGTGTTTTTTCTTTGTCTAATTACTTTTGATTTTGTTTCATACTCCGAGTTGACCAATTATTATTATTATTATTATTATTATTATTTTATTTGCAAATGAAGCCCGTTTTTTTCTGTGTTCGGACTTTCAATAATATACTTTTTTGGATTTAGTTTTTGGACTTTTTTTAGTTACTCATCAAATAAATAGTTCCGGTCACTTCTTCTAACTAATTTATAGGGAAGGAATGATGTTTCTACGTTTATTTGTGTTTTTATACATCATTTTTACGTACAGAAAAAAAATAAATTTCTCAATTTTTAATGAGCTATCTTTTACTTTCTTTTTTTTTATTTACCATGGTGAGGTGAGTTTTTTTTGCTATAACTTGAAATCTATGCAAATTTATATTATTTTCATTCTCATATTTATGATCAACCAGTTTCAACAATTAACCAGTTTCAAAATCATATTTTTGATATTTTATTACCTATAAACTTTTGGAAGAAATAGTTCCAACAATTAAGCGTATACCCTTTGGAGGAATCTTACTACAAAGCTATTATAAATCTCCAAAACTAAGTATTGATTTGGCACCAATGGAGAACATTAATAAATCATCTTACTAATATTTAAACTTATTAGGATTCTTTTATATTTTGTCTAGCATTTACTTCAAGATATATATTTGATCAAGTTTATTTATATTTAAGAAGTAACACTTATAAAATATTTCTAAAATATTCAAACATTTCTAAAACGTACCGGGGCAAAAATAACTTCTTTTTATGCCAAATACGAACATTTATGTGATCATACATATAAAAGATTTCTAAATTCTTCAAATATTTCTAAAATATATCGGGCTAAATACAAAAATTTTTTCAGATATAAACATTTCAAAAATATACAGATATATTGGGCCAGGGTCGCGCATTGCGCGACTAGACATCACTAGTATAAATTATATATTAATGAAGCGTTTTCAATCGGACACATAGCGTAAAATTAGATAGAGTGATACAACTGGCAAAAAATTAGATATGTAAGTCCACATGTCACAACTACATCACTCCATCATTTAATGGTATTTTTAATGTAAATTATAAATTTATATATAAAAGTAAATTAATTGGAATATCTTCTATAATATAATTCTTAATAACTAACTTGTAATATATTTTTTTTTGGGGGGGGGGGGTCAACAAAAGACTTCTCGAAAACATCAATTTAGTTTACATACGGAGAAAAAAAAAATTTGGGAAACACATTAAGAATTGATTTTTTTTTTTTCAGTTTTTCTTTTACATTCCTTAATTATCAAAGACAAACGAAAAACCTTGATAATTGTAGCTTCTTCAGATATATGTTCCACCTGTTATTCCACATAGCTCAAAAATTTCTACATTTTTTTGACATATACTTCATAAAATTTTTTTAATAATATCTTGGCATGCTTTGTTGGACTATTGGGCAAATAGAAGATTTATTTAATTCATTTGATTCATGGATTCTGAAAACTTCGTATCTTCTTTTAAAAACAATTAATTCCCTAAAAGAATATGAAATTATGAACTATGGAAAACATCTTTCTCATTACCAAATATCAGTTTTATCAAGGAAAAAAGAACTCTTTAATTAAAAAGTAAATTGTTTCATGGTACGTAGTCTTAGAAGTTAATGTGTTAAAGTGTAATTATTAATTAGGTTTTTTTTTTCTCATTGGTTAGTGTATTATTTTTTTTTCATTGGTTAGTGTATTGATTTTTATTTCAGTATGTGGTACTTTGATTGTAAATTTTTTAATGATAAGATTTTTTAAATGTACAACTATTAAATGATTAATAATGATGATATTGTATAAAATTTATAAAATAAAAAAGTAAAATAATAATAATACTGAGAATATAATTATATATTAATCATCTAAACTTTTAAAAATATAATAATATATTATATTATATTTAATATAATAAATTATAAAAAATACCATAAATGATTACTAATAATTTATATAATAATATATATATATATATATATATATATTCTTTTCATTTTTTTCATATGATATAATGGTAGATAAGTTAACGTTATGATGATAAAATAAAACGTAGAGATCAATAGACAGAAAGTTCTAACATAAGAAACAGATAAAGGATTTTGTGAGACACAAACAGTAGAAGAAAAACATATTGCGAAATTAAAAATAATTATATGAAGAAAAAAATTATGCAGAGAATAAGAAAATCTGAAAAAAAAAACTCTAGATAATAGTGAAAAGTTATTACAATTTTTTCAAGAAATGAGGCTTTGAAGAGGGGTCATCAACTAGGAAAAAAAAGTGAAAACTATGCAACAAAGAAAAAAAAACATTTTAAAAAAAATGAAGTAAACACTATATTATAGGAAACAATTATGAACAAACTTCTAAAGAAAGGTTGGAAAAGATATACAAAGAGGAAAAAAAAAATAAAGATAAGTTCATGGAAAGAAATAATAAGAAATATAGGGTGGGAGAATTAGATGGGGTGGTTAGGGGATTAGGATGGGGAATGGTTATTACCTGGAGGTCGAGTATTCGATTCTCACTGATAGAAATATTAGAGTGAGAGTTTAAAAGATATGACATTGATAGAAATATCTAGAGAGATTCTTATAAAAAAAAATTAAGATAATACTTTTTAAAAATATAAATCCATAAATCAACAAAATAAAAAAGATGGACAACAAGTTACATTGGATGATTTCAAATTTTGAAAATTATTCCAAATATACTTAAAATTAACAAAACACGTGGACATTAAAAGTTAAACAATAATTTATATCATTAATATTATTTTTTTTAACATATACCATTCTGTAAAAAATATCATATAATCATTAAACCATTAAACTTATATATATATATATATATATATATATCTTAAAGTGATGTAATATTTTATCCTGGACCAGAAGGTGCAAAATAAATTTTGCAAGGGCAAGATTATTATTTTTCAAAAATTTGTACTAAAATTTTCAAAGAACTCTTATTAAAAATTTTTAAGTGGCGGGGGAGTGACTACCTCACTAGTTCTCCTCCCTCTGCCACTGACCCGCACAACGTGTGGAGTAAACACTAGTATATATAAAAGAAGAAGCTAACATTTTCCATTGTGTAGTCGTACTAAATGAATGTGGTTTTGTTAGAATTTGGGATCAAGAGTATTTGAATTAGCTAGAGATGAACTCTTTAGGGGCGGCAAGGTTTTTGTTAATGAGTCGTCTTTTGTAAATAGTTGTGTACTACTTAGGATCAAGAGTATACTTGCTCTTGATTAGCAAGTCTTGGTAAGGCATACCCGGCATAATAATAATGCCGTAACTGATGAACTAGCGAAATTTGGTCCATTTTGTCTCTTTGGACTTCACATTTTGTGGACTCCGTCATCTACAATCACAGAGAGTCTTGTACTAGATAGCTCCACATCATCCCATCAACCATAGGGATATTTTGTAGTTAAGTCGCAAGTTTCCTTCGGTTTTTTTTTTGAAAAATAAATTAATGTGGTTATCAACAGCTGAGGAACCGCAAAGCATGACCTAGTTGTTTTGTTTATGCTCTAATTAGGACTTTATCCTACCGAATTGGTACTGTTTGTTCTTCTTATGTTAACTGAGAATTAGTTTAGTGGGTTAGTGCCTTGAATAATAGATTAAAAGATCTATTTTGGAGACATTTTGGACTTATTCTAATTGCTAACTGGGAATTATGTTAACTGACAATGTGTTGTACTAAGTTTTTGATTTTCCAAGTATATGTATACATATATATATGTATAAAATTAATTAATTAATTAGCTTCAAGATTTATAACTCTAATTAATTTGACAAATTCAATGTCGAGATCATATTTAGAGTAATATGTTTTTTTTTTTTGAAAAGGAGGGTAATATAATAAGTACTACATATATAACTTTGTGACACAAATTTTTTTTATTATACTTTTTGCAAGAAAAGTTCTATTTAGTATAATATCTAATCCCTATGTAACTATGTTTCAAAATTATTGTTCAGTTTATATTTTCACTTTTAGTTTATTTTATACTAAAAATAAAAATCCAAACTCAGGAAAATATTTTGGAGACCGAGGGAATATTATTTTTCTTGCTGAATAAATGTTATAGTGTCCCCAGGTTGCTTAACGTACTCCCCGACAGTTCTCTCCTTGTAAGTCTCCAATCCTCGGGACAAATTTCAGAAGCTAATGGCCACAAACGGTTTTAAGAATCCTGACGGTGTCCGTATCGTTGTTGCCGGCGATGCTAAAACCGGCAAATCCAGCTTGGTTTTAGCCGCCGCCTCTGATAATTTCAACCCCGACGTTCCTCCGGTTCTTCCGCCGACTAGGCTCCCGGAGAATATGCTCCCTGATCGAGTTCCCGCCACCACCGTCATCGATACCTCTTCCAGCTCCGACGACAGAAACAAGCTCGTTGAAGAATTGAATCGAGCTGATGCGATTGTGCTCACTTATGCCTGCGATAAACCCGCAACGCTGGAGAGATTGACTTCGTTCTGGCTCCCTGAACTTCGCCGATTAAGGGTTAAAGTCCCAATTGTTTTGGCGGCCTGTATGGTTGACAAGAAGGATCCAACCGATGTGGATCCGGATACGGGTCCGGATCCGAATGTGACTCGGGAGATTGAATGTTTTATTGAATGTTCAGCACTGAACGCCTTGAACGTTGCAAAGGTGTTCAGATCCGCATTAGAAGCTGTCCTTTACCCAGTAGCTCCATTGATTGATGTAAAATCAAAAACTCTGAAACGCGGTTTTTCGGGTGCTCTGAAACGGGTTTTTAAACTGTGCGATCTGGACTGCGACGGTGCCCTTAGTGATGAAGAGCTGAATGAATTCCAGGTCAAGTGCTTCAATGTTCCACTGCAGCCTATTGAATTAACTGGGATTAAGATGGTTTTGCAAGAAAATTTGGCTGAAGGTGTTACCGATAAGGGTATTACACTCGAGGGATTCCTCTTCTTGCATTCTCTGTTATTGGAGAAGGGCCGTTTTGAAACAATATGGACTGTCCTGAGAAAATTTGGATATAATAACCAGATCAGACTTTCTGATGATATGCTTCCTCCTCCATTGAAAACATATCCTGACCAGAGTACAGAGCTGACTACTGATGCTGTGGAGTTTTTGAAGGGAATCTATTTCAAAACCATAAACAACAGGGTTGTTTCCTCTGGCGCTAATAATTATCTTTCTTCAGTGGTTAAAGAGGTATTTTCAACTGCCCCGGATAATCCATGGACTAAAGCACCCTATGCAGATGCAGTAAAAGGGACTGGCCCGGATAATAATGAGCTTAAGGTGAATGTGTTTTTGTCCAAGTGGGCTCTGATGGCACTTCTGGAACCTATTCGGTGTTTTGAGTACCTTAAATATGTAGGATACGCCGGTGCTATATCTTCCGCCATTCGTATTACCCGGAGGAGACGATTAGACCGTGAAAAGAAACAGTCGGACAGAAATGTTTATCAGTGCTTTGTTTTTGAACCTAACAAGGAGGACGTAAGGTCGACAAAAATGTTGGGTTCATGTCCAACTGAGAAAACTTATGCTGTCCACATTGTTGATCAAAAAACACTTGTATTGCGTGAATTTTCAGAGGATATTGTGGAGGAGTTTCTTTGGGAGGAGGATGACTTGGCATCGTGTGATGTCGCGATATTTGTTTACGACGTATCTAGTGAACATTCGTGGGAGAGGGCAAACGATCTCCTACACCATGTCGTTAGTATCGGGAGAGCTGCGGGTTATGAGTTCCCTTGCCTCATAGTTGCAGCTAAAGACGATCGTTGTCCGTATCCAACTGAGGTTCGAGATTCAAGAAGGCTGAATCGAGGTTTGGGGATAGAGGCTCCTATACGAATCAAGGCGAGAAATCTAAATGACATCTTCCCAAGGATTGTTAGTGCTGCAGAGCACCCGCATTTGAATATCCCTGGAACTGAAGACAAGAAAAGCGGTCACGGGTTAATTCATCACTTCTTCAAGTTCGCGTCGGGCATGAAATTCCTGTGGTGAGGCTACAAACAAGAGAGAATCTTGAAGTAAGTTTTAAGAAATGCAACAAGATACAAGGTAGCGTAGCATTATTTTAGTGTACATTATTTATTTATTTTAGCGTACACATTTTATTATTATAGTATATTTTCGTTCGTCTTGTCTTTTTTTATAGTGTATTTCATTAAATTAATATAAAATTTAATAAAATGATCTAGTAAGATGAGACAGAGAGAGTATTACACTTTGCATTTGGTTGCTTAATTGGAATTTTTATCTATACAATGTAATTTTGAAATTTCAATCTTTGTTTAATTTTTTCTTTAAATGGTATTTTTAAATGCAATGATGTATTTACATGTCAATGTTATTATGATTTTTTTATGGGGATTATCTGTTCGACTATTTGTCATACGGTTCTGGAAGATATCCAATTGGATTATTTATATTCTGGAGTCGGCTTGCTCGCAAATTAACTTTTTACACTTCTTTTCCAAAAAAAAAAAAAAAAAAAAAACTTTTTACACTTAGAGAGCAAAAGTTCATGGGTTGAGTTATGGTCTACATCATTCCTTTCTGTTAATTACATTAGGCGATCCCAAACAGTTTTTCCTCAAGTCTTTATTATAAGATTTTTTGATTTATCATAAATTTCATTCAGCATTGATTTTCTAATTAAAAAAAAATTTAAAAATATATTTTCACATTTTTTATATTTTCTTAATTATTATTTAGGTTTTATTTTTCGAATGAAAAAACATACTAAATAAAATTTAAGAAAAATAAAAAATTCTTTATATTAAGGATCCGAGGGAATAACAATACTTTTTCCGAAAGAAAAAAAATAAAAGAAGTTTGAATCGTTTTAATTATGTCTGAAAAAAAAAGTCAAAAAATAAAGATAGTACTATTATTTTTGAAACAAAAATGTAGGCTAACTTTTGGCTAAGCTAATACTACCATTAGAACCCTATTATGTCATATTGTCATTTAACAATCACAGTTTAGAACACGCTATAATTGGTGTTTCATATCCATGAAATATTTTAATTTCATGATTTAAACTTTTGGCCTCCTTTCTTTTACCAAAAATAAAAAAATTAAAAAAAATCACAAATTAACAATTTGTGTTCTACTTCGACCACCACCTTATTTTCTCTCATCTCCCTCTCTGGGAAAGTTCTCAAGTAAATCTCAGCATTCCGCTCTAATTCAAACACTCTACAATTATATTGTTTTAATTATTCGTAATTGTGTACAAAAGAATTTCAAATTGAAAGTGAAAATTCAAATTGTGTGATCATTTTAGAACGGATGACTGTTTACGATAAGATCTTTTTACTTTTTATAGAAAAAAGTAATACTGTAAAACATATGAAACCTTAACCATGAATTTGGCTCTATTTAAGTTCCCCTAGAGAAAATCCCTTTTGATCATACTTATCTGATGTATAAATCATAAAGTCAATTTTTATACCCCCCTATAGAATAAGCGTGCACTTCCCGCGAAATCCTCCAGAGCAGGACACCATTCACTCAAATGCGCAGCGAAAGAGAGAAAAACAGCCACAAAAGGAGTAGCTGTCACTCTGCAACCCGGCGAAGAATTCAACGGGCGACTCCGATTCCGCAGGGTTCTGAAACAATGTCAGCGCCACATTTCATATCATTCTCCGATTCTCCTCCGAAGGAGATCCGACAACGAAGAACCTCAATCAACGGTCACTTTCCCCACCATTTGTCCACGCAATCCCTCCCCCCAAAACTTTGCCACCATTACCGTATTCCACCGAAATTCATCTCCGTCGATCGATTTTTTTTTCTGGTTTCCCTCGCCGACGTCGTCCGGATTCCTACATTTCACCTTGTCCTCCGATTTACTGGAAGCTTCGCCAACAACAATTCTGCTTCGAAATTGTTGTTCAATTTTTGTCTACACAGTGAAGAGTTGCTGCGGATTTCAAATTATGCAGACACGGGGAACAACTCACACATAGTCAATTTTCCCCCCAATTTCTTGAAATTCTGTAAATGGTAAAGAACTTCTCTAATGATCAGTACATTATTGCTTTTCTTCTTTTTTTTTTTCCTTTTATTGTGATGAGAGATTGGAGTATAACTCGCGTTCGCTGTGTTCTTACATTGCCTAAAACTTGCTTGGACTATTTATTTTTAACTTTACGCACATAGGCAGTGAAATGCAAAGGTAATATTGTAGGCATGACAACCTTGTGTGGTCAACCTACTATTAGATGCCTCGGTAATTGATTGAGGTTTATGAACTGCTGTCAGTGATTTCAAAGATTTTGTGCTAAATAGAGTTTCGTGGGGAATTTCTGGGTTACTGTTGATGTATAATTCAAGGTTTTGATTGCTGAGGCTCCCAATGGGTAAAGAGTTCTCTCTAAAGCCTGCATAATTGTTTCTGGAAATGGATTCTATCACAATGTACTGTTGTAATTCAGGGGTCAATTATGGCACTTTGTTACATCGTTACTGCTGCTCAAAAGACTAATCAACCAGAGATTGTGATAGCTAATGAACATAAAAATTCTGTTGATAGTTGTTCTCTGTGCCCATCTGTTTCAGAGTAGAGAATCGGAGAATTTAGTTTCCTTTCTTCTTCTAGTACAGTTTTTGGGGTGGAAACGCTTTCCTAGTTTCCTATGAATGCATTATGATACCCTAAATCGTATAATAGCTGAAAATTTCAATGCTTACAACTGGTAAACTGTTATGCCTTACTGTAACCTACACTATACTGTTGCATAAACTACATAATCTAACTTCTTATACTGCATTCATGAGGATAGAATATGTTTGAAATATGTGCTGAAGGTGCACTTAACCTAAACATTCATATTCTGAAGAAAAGATAAAGTTGACTTTTATATGCAGGGTACCCCAATAAACATCATCGTCGGAAGTCACGTTTGGGTAGAAGACCCAAATGTTGCTTGGATAGACGGAGAAGTACTGAAGATAAATGGAGACGAAGCTGATATTCACTTATCTGATGGGAGGAAGGTAGGTGCAGCTCTTTTTCAACAATGAATTTATACTCAAACGAATTCATGATCTATTAAGTTGAATCTTGATCACCCAAACCTAACATGCATCACACTTATTATAAGAAACCGGAAGCTGATTATGGATAGGTTCTGCCAGTTATCACGACTACTTTTATGCATGCTATTTTATTTGATTTATCTACTAAAATAATTGCCAATTGAAGCAAGTAACCATGCATAACCTGTTTCTTCTTTTTCCATACTCCGGGTTTAGTCACATGTGTCTATTTGTCTGTCAAAGGTTGTTGAGAAGTTATCAAAGCTTTATCCCAAAGATGAGGAAGCTCCTTCTGGTGGAGTGGATGATATGACAAAGCTATCATATTTGCATGAGCCCGGAGTCCTCCAAAACTTGGCCTCTAGATATCAGCTCAATGAAATCTATGTAAGATTACTCTACAATTTATTCAAATATTATCGCCATTTTGGTCACCCTGGTGAAAGAAAGCAATGAATTACTGCAGCTATGGGGGGCTCTGTCATAACATTATATCCTACTCTGACATTATGGCAGACTTATACTGGAAGTATTCTCATCGCCATTAACCCATTCCAAAGACTGCCTCATATATATAATACCCATATGATGGAGCAATACAAGGGAGCGCCATTTGGTGAACTGAGTCCTCATGTTTTTGCAATTGCGGACGTTGCTTTTCGGTGATTTTTATTCTTTTCTCATCTTTCATTATTACTCGTATTTCTATGGTTTAATTTCCTTACTGAACGGTGTGAAATGAATCAGGGCAATGATTAATGAAGGGAAGAGTAACTCTATTCTAGTCAGTGGTGAAAGTGGTGCTGGTAAGACTGAAACAACCAAAATGCTTATGCGTTACCTAGCTTTTTTGGGTGGCCGTAAAGGTACTGAAGGAAGGACTGTTGAACAACAAGTTTTAGAGGTATGGTAAATGATGCAATTAGTCTGGTGCATTCCCTTTGTAGACAGTGTAATTCTTTGTATCTAACAGTATGAAGTTCCAGTTCAATAGCAGACCAGTTCAACGCTATAATGCTTAGTAAAATTAATGAGGGTGAAAATGAGGGTGAAAAACTTAAATAAGTGAGGATAACCCATACTCATATCATTCGGATATTGAAGGTTTAAATGAGGGTTGATTCATTTTTGTGGTGCCTCAACATATTATAATCTAATGTAACACGAAGTAGGAAGAACTTTACATTTTATTGGTCATTAGCACAAATAAATGTGGCTTATTTGGCCAATGATGTGTGGAGGAGAAAAAAATTGTACTTTAGTAGGGTGTTTTTATTTTTTTTTTTAATTTTTTTAATGTATGGAAAATGCAGTAACTTTGAAGATTAGAAGCTTATATAGCAGATACCTTTACACGATATAAAGAGGTTATTCTGACTCTTCCTTGATTCCCTTTTAGAAGTTTCTCCTCCGTAATGTTGTAGAGAAAAAGAATTCGTTCTGCTTATTTGCTCAAAGGTAGCATAATTTAAGTAGAAAAGGAGACCTTCCTTGCACTTTATCCTAGAGAGAGTTGCTGTAGACTTGTGGTTTGGAGACCTGATTAATTGTCATTCCTTATTTGGGCTACTTAGCACTTACCATATTGTAGAATATGTTGACTGCATATCTTCATAACCTTCCCCTTCAGTGATTTTATGGGAATTTATTCCTGAAAATGCAGTCAAACCCTGTACTTGAAGCTTTCGGCAATGCAAAAACTGTCAGAAACAACAATTCAAGGTGAGATATATTTATCTCTTGCATTGTTACCACTGATAAATGTATTTCCTAATTGGTGGTTATCGTAATACTTTTCTATTGATGTTTTTTTGCAGTCGTTTTGGTAAATTTGTTGAAATTCAGTTTGACAAGCATGGAAGAATATCAGGAGCAGCTATTAGAACATATCTACTGGAGAGATCTCGTGTCTGCCAAGTTTCTGATCCTGAGCGAAATTATCACTGCTTTTACCTTCTTTGTGCAGCACCACAAGAGGTATTTACTTATAATTGTGTGCAGGATTTCATGATTTCATTTTTTAAAGAAAAAGAAAAAGTAGAGGAAACTTATCAGCAAGCTTCTTCTCGACAATTCTGTGATTTACAGGAAGTTGAAAAATATAAGTTGGGACATCCTAAAACTTTCCGCTATCTTAATCAATCAAATTGCTATGAGCTAGTTGGTATCAACGACGCTCATGAATATCTTGCCACGAGGAGGGCCATGGATATTGTTGGAATAAGTAAAACAGAACAGGTTCGATTGTAATGTCAGTATGTGCAGTTGGGATTTCTTTTTCTTTATGCAAACACCAATCTCCTGGTTTCCTCTTGGGCAGGATGCAATTTTCAGGGTTGTTGCTTCTATTCTCCATATTGGAAATCTTGAATTTTCCAAAGGAAAAGAAATCGATTCATCTGTTCTCAAAGATGACAAATCCAAATTCCATCTTCAAACAACAGCTGAACTGCTTATGTAAGATCCATGTCGTGGCATTTGCACTTGGTTGAACATCTTGACTTGTTAGACTTGAAAATTTTAATTTGACAGGTGTGATCCTGTTGCATTGGAAGATGCATTACTGAAGCGTGTAATGGTTACCCCTGAAGAGGTTATCAAAAGAAGTCTGGATCCTGATGGTGCAGCTGTTAGTAGGGATGGTTTAGCAAAGACAATATATTCCCGTTTATTTGACTGGTACTCATAATGATTGATTCACCTGTCATGTACTTTCTTGATGTACTAGCTTAATCAATCTGAATTATATTATCATTGTTATCATTGCAGGTTGGTGGACAAGATTAATGTGTCTATTGGCCAAGATCCAAATTCAAAATCCCTTATTGGTGTTCTTGATATTTATGGTTTTGAAAGTTTTAAACATAACAGGTGTGGTATTTTCTCTTCTCTTTTTCTTTCGGTAAAAGAATAATGATATGGTGAGTTGACTGTCTTTTTTAATAATGTTCGGGATTATATTCTATGTGCAGCTTTGAACAGTTCTGTATTAATTTTACGAATGAGAAGTTGCAACAACATTTTAACCAGGTAAATTTTATTTAGTTATTTTTCTTTGGCAGCTTGTTCCAATTTCTTACTTAACATGTATGTCTCATATTTTTCAACAGCATGTATTCAAGATGGAGCAGGAGGAATATACAAAGGAAGAAATTGACTGGAGTTATATAGAATTTGTTGATAATCAAGATGTATTGGATCTTATTGAAAAGGTTGTTTTCATCTTTTCATGTTTTTGATTCTAAATATTTGCTGTGGGAGTACTTGTCTGAGAAATATTTTTTGTGACCAGCTTGCATACTACTTATCTATCGGTAGTCGAGAAATATTTTTTGTGACCAGCTTGCATACAACTTATCTATCGGTAGTCGAGAATATGAGATCTTTTAAATTTGAGATACTGTAGTCTGGGTTCTTCTGGATTGTGGGATTTACGTTGGAGAAGTCTAGGTGAACTAAAAGTTCCAGAAGATCTAAGTCGATGTTAGGAGTAAAGAAGTACTAATATCCAAGTTTACTGTTCTTACCATGCTTTCCGTTACAGTAGTTAGGTCTCTGTTGTACCTCTCATTCTACTCATATATACTTGAATTATCATCCTGATATATTAGTGACATGCTTTTGAAGCTAAGATGATATGCCATGTTAACTTTTAACTTCACGTACTCTATAAAAATGTTCTCTTCAGTTTGAGATGGTTTTCATACACATGATAAAGTACTAAGAACTCACTTGGAAAATTGAAATGTTTGGACTGCGCTTGGTTACGTCGGTTATGCTGCAGTTGTTATCCTAAGTTTCAGCATGCTTGTTATCCTATTTATATTATCGTCAAACGTGCCAGAGTTACCCTTTCAATTTCGTTACTACTTTTTGCTCATATTTTCATTTTGCAGAAACCTGGAGGAATTATTGCTCTGCTTGATGAAGCCTGGTAGGTAGTTCTATATAGCCTACATATTTGGAACTGGAATGTCTGACTGAATGTAATTGTTGTATTCCATTTTGGTGCTGTAGAATTGATATGTGTGCTCTTTTCCAGTATGTTTCCCAAATCAACTCATGAAACTTTCTCACAAAAGCTCTATCAGACCTTCAAAACCCACAAACGATTTGTCAAACCAAAACTATCACGCACTGATTTCACAATTGCTCATTATGCCGGCGAGGTAACTGGAAATATTTCGTCACGTATATGGATAACTGCTTGAGCATACAGTTGGTTTCACTTTTTTCTATGTTTCTTTTTCTTCCTTTTCTCCAGGTTCAGTATCAGTCTGAACAATTTCTGGATAAAAACAAGGACTATGTTGTTCCTGAACATCAAGATCTGTTAGCTGCTTCCAAATGTACTTTTGTAGCTGGGCTTTTCCCTCCACTTCCTGAAGAAAGTACCAAGTCCTCAAACAAATCTTCTAAGTTTTCATCTATTGGAGCACGTTTCAAGGTACATAGTTTAAATTTTTTTGATTCTTGCTCTGGTTTCAAGGCACTGGGGAGCATTGCTCGTTGTGGGCAATTCTTTGTGACTCTCCATAAACCATACAGAAACTAATATTTCAATATAAGTGGTGCAGCTACAACTCCAACAGTTGATGGAAACATTGAACTCTACTGAACCTCACTATATCAGATGTGTGAAGCCGAATAATCTTCTGAAACCTGCTGTTTTTGAGAATGTCAACATAATGCAGCAGCTGCGCTGTGGTGTAAGTGCAGTTTTTTTGAACAGCATCTCCACCCCTTCCAAAAAAAGTAGAAGAATGAATAAATTAAGCAACAAAAAAGGGATAAGTTAATGTTCAAGTGCTGTTGATGTTGTTCATTCTTGTTTTTCTATTTCTATATACATAAATACATATATAAATACATATATACATACATATGTACATACATATATACATATATATTGTTGGTTTTGTGATGAAATTGTTCTCTGTAGGGTGTTCTAGAGGCAATTAGAATCAGCTGCGCTGGATACCCTACACGGAAAACATTCTTTGAGTTCTTAACTCGGTTTGGTCTTCTTGCACCAGAGATCATGGAGGCGAAGTAAGTATTCGCTCTCTTGGTGGGCATTAGCTGATTACCGTAACTTCACACTATTAATTTCTGGCAGGTTAAGTTCTTCTCAATTTTCTGACCTATTTTTTATTTTTTAAAACCATCTAATCAGTCATGAAGGTAAAGTTGCTTGCCAAAAGATTTTGGAGAAGTTGGGGATGGCAGGAGCTCAGGTATCTTTTTTTACCTTTCAGAATATATCTCAAATTTATTGACTTGGAACAGAGAATGCATATTTTTTTTGATAAGTGTGCGAGGGATTAATTTGACAGGATATGCGGGAGAATGTTGTTAATCTTGAATTCTTGATTTAACTGGTGAATGACTCTCTTAAACGAAAATAATGTATTGTTTTCCTCCCCTTGCTTCTTTGTCTCTTTGTGCTTGAAGACACAATAGCTAACCTTTTAGCCAATGGTCTCTTTTTCTACAATAGTCAAGGTTCCCTCTTACTGGATTAAAGATAAAAGTACTATCATATTCACATCTGTTTTTTTTTTGTGAAATCATAATACCTTCTGTATGTCATTGTGGTTATTCCTTGTTCTCTTTATCTAAATCTTGTTTTGAGCATCAATTCGTTTGTATCTGGAAATGGTGTTAATGGACACTTTTTGCAGATAGGAAAAACAAAGGTTTTTCTAAGGGCTGGTCAGATGGCTGAGCTTGATGCACAAAGAGCACAAAAGCTGAACAATGCAGCCAAAACAATTCAAAGGAAGACAAGAACCCATCAAGCTCGGAAGCATTTTCTGGCTTTGCAGGAGGCTGCAGTTTGCGTTCAAGCAATATGTCGAGGTTATGTATTTTCCTTTTGCTAAATGGCTAAATGTGCTGCATTATTTGAGGGCTCTTTTTAAATCTCTAGCCATTCAATATTATTCTGCATACCCAGTTGATTGATTCCACTTGATTATAGATTTCCTTTTTCTCCATTTGTGAATGTGTTGTATGATTGTTTGTGGCAGGAATGCTTGCTTGCAAGTTATATGATGGTATCAAGAAGGAGGCAGCTTCTCTTAAAATACAGACAAAAGTGCGTGGACATCTTGCAAGGAGAAAGTACACTAGATTAAAGTTAACGGGAATTGTATTACAGGCTGGAATGCGGTCAATGGCTGCACGTAAGGAATTCAGATATAGAAGGCAAACTAAGGCAGCAACTACAGTACAGGTTGTTGACTAGCCTCCAATTTTACTTGAAACATTTAGGATGAGTATTTGGCTTTTAACAGAAGACATTTGCAGGCTGATTGGCGTTGTCACAGAGCTTTCTCATACTACAAGAAGCTTATAAGAGCATCAATAATAACACAATGCAGATGGAGGGGTAGGGTGGCTAGAAAAGAGCTTCGAAAACTGAAGATGGTAGGCTTTGCTGTTTTATTTTTTTTGATTTTTTAACAATATATTTTTCTCTAAGTGTTTTCTTTGTCTACTCCAATGTTTCCTTGCAATTTTTTTTGACTCATTGCTGACTAAAACCCATATATTGCTGATGCACTGCTGAGTATTTCTAGATTCCTTTTGGAGCATAGAATCAGGGATAGTATCTGAACACCTGTGATGGCATTTTTCTATCACTTCATTGCAGTCTTTACTGGAGTATTTGGACTAACTTTGCTATTTGATTCTATCTATACAGATAAATCTAAAGTATTTTTCTCTCATTTGCTGCATGAATACTCTTTATATTTCCTTTCATTTTTGGTAACCCTTATCTTATTCTAGGAGGCATATTGGATTTGTTTGAATCAAATTTCTGGTTTTTCTCGCTATTGTCGAAAGTATTTGGACCTTATCAGTTTCAATTGTGGTTTGGGTGCATGGAACATTGCTATTCAGCTAATTCTTCCTCTTAAGTACTTTTTGTTTTCCATGTTTGATAGTAATCATCTTACATATTTTTAGGCTGCCAGAGAAACAGGAGCACTGCAACAAGCAAAGGATAAGCTTGAAAAACAGGTGGAAGACCTTACCTGGCGTTTGCAGTTGGAGAAACGATTAAGGGTAATATGCTCATATACTTCTTCATTATTTTCCCTTAAGGAGATGAGGTTTTTTAACATTTTCAAGATCCATTTGCCTCAATTATCTCAAACCCCAATTCCTGGATTGCACAACTATAGTTGAAGTCTTTGGCAGGAAGCTTTTGTAGTATCCAGTCTTTCCCAAACATTTTGTTGCCAGTTCTTCTAGTCTAGTTTACAGTAATGGAACATTGCTGAGCTCAGTTGGGTGCTTGATCCTCAATTTTACCTGTGAAATAGTGGCCTTTGTATTAAGTTCACAAATTACAGGAACAACCTATGCAACTTTTTTCCGGGCGTTATATCAATTGATCACTATGTTTGCAGACTGACTTGGAAGAGGCGAAGAGCCAGGAAATAGCAAAATTACAGCATTCCTTGCAAGAGATGCAGAGCAAAGTAGAGGAATCAAATGCATTGCTCATAAAGGAACGAGAGGCTGCTCAGAAGGCTATTGAAGAAGCCTCTTCGATTGTTCATGAAACACCTGTTCCTGTTGAAGATACTGCGAAAATTGAGGCTCTAACTGCCAAGGTTGAAAATCTAGAGGTAATACTGAGGATCTCATATGCTTATATATAAATCTATATAGTGTTACCTCTTAACATGGTATGTATGATGTGTTCTATGCAGGAGTCACTACAATCTGAGAGAAAAAGAGCCGAAGATTCTGAAAGGAAATGTGAAGAAGCTCTAAATTCAAGCGAAGAAAAGCGTCAGAAATTAGAAGAAACGGAAAAGAGAGTGCATCAACTTCAGGAATCATTGAACAGGTAGCATAAACTTGCACCCGTTTGTGTTTTTAGTGTCTCATTTGTTTATGACGCAGAAACAATAAGGTATACTTATTTCAGTGCCCAACAACATTCCTTATCTACATAAGGGCAAGCTTAATTCAGTTCGGCCATGTTGCCCTGTTTCTTGTTTGTGTATACCTTAAAATTTTTGACGAATCACTTCTCCTTCATTGGAGTTAAACTAGGACATGAATAAAAATTACCAAGTGATGAGTGTTCTCATTGTTCTGAACGAAGATGCCCCAGACTAGAATCTCTGCCTATGGACAAAATTTTTTCCCCTTATATCCCTTCCCCCACCACACTAAGGATGTATAATTATATGGTGAGCTCGAATTAAAGATGACTTAGAAGGTAGATGCATCAATAAGTAGAATGGACTCCATCATCTAAGATTTATGTGACCATTAGCTCCATTCAAGTGGTATGCATTTCACTGTTTATGTACTCTGTTTTTGGAATTATAGTTTGTGCTATATTTTTGTGAGTGTTTGTCTTATGTTTTAAACCATTGCTGCTTTATGATGGTGGGAAAATCTGAAGTACTAAAACCAAGTAACTTTTGATTCGAAATTTGTGCATAACCATGGTTAGATCTAAAAAAAAAAAAAAAACCCATGGTTAGATCTAGAACTTTCACTTGCTAGGTCTTACTGAGGAAAATAAACCCTCAGATCATAAGAGTGCAATGGGTGAGAAATGAGTGATTTAACCTAGGAAGAAGCTTTTGCTATCAATGATGAGAGTTCTTATCAAAGACTGTACAGTTTGAAGTATGTTCATTGGAGGAACTAAAAGACATACATATATTGGTAAAATTCATAATTTCTGGTTATTAACAAACTACCAATGGATGTTTTAGAGAAGAATCTTGGGAGGAGAAATAGCTGAAATCTGAGCTTGCCTCCCTGAATAGATGTTGGTCAAAATATTTCAAGAGATAAAATCCTACTTTTGGTGAAAATGGGCTGAATATTGCACTAGGGACCTTGTATGACTTCTTTTGGGTTGTAGATTTTTACCACTTGGCTGCAGGAGAAGCACTGCTAACTCAAGTGTAGAAAAAGATCCCTTCTGGTTTTTGACTAATACTAGATACGATCTAGTGTGCCTCAGGATGATATACAGCATGTCGGACCAATTCTTGGAGCTGAAAATGATTTTATCTTCATCCAACTTCAGTTCATCTTCACGATTTTTCGCTAGAGATTGTCAGGGTGATGCTACGTCCACTTCCTCCGACACTACGTCTACTGATTCCGATTTCACATTTCCAGCCCCTGCTTCAACTCCAGCAAACTTTTCTTCATTCAATCCTGGTGCAATTCAGCTTGTAGTTCAGGACCTTTCAACGGCTGAATTTTCAGGTCAGTCTAGATTCCTAAGAGTCTCCCGTGTCTGCTCTTGAACTCTTATGATAGGCCTGGTTTCAGGGTATGATCCACCAGTCTTTTGCATTTAGGTTTCTTTCTATTGCACCCAATCATTCAACTTTTGATCTCGATCCTGTGCTCCTTTTTTGATACTGCTATTTTGTTCCCAAACCCCTCTTGAAGATAGAAAATTACATACAACTTTTTCTCTTCATGGTTGCATTGTGCAGGATCTGAAAACTGGGAAAATGAGCGGGAGGGGGCATTCGATGACTTCTTCTGAGGATATTTGCTCTTTCAAATTGTCGTACCTATATTCGTGCTAGCTAGATGTTTGTCTGACTTGATGTGGGCATTTAACTAGGTACATCCACCCAAAATAGATTCACACCTTTGTATTATACTAGCCATAATTGGTAGAAATGATACTTGTGGTAACACTATATCATGTACAGTTTACTTTTCATTCTGAATAAAATTTTTAAATTGATGCAGAATCTTATATGCTTTTTCTAGGGGCAGGGCTGGGGCTGTTTTGTTGCCTCATAACTAGATATAACTTACGATCAAATGCACCTCGTCAAGTCAAGGATTTTAACACAGTTCCCTCTTCAAGTCAAGGACCTTATTTGCTTATTCCCATAGGACTAATTTGTAGTGTCCTCTATAGTAGTAACGAAGCCTGACATGGTATTTAGCTAGTAAATCTGGTTAATGCCATTAGCAGTTCATCTGATTTTCTTTCCATGTGACTGCTGTTCCTTGTTGCAATGAAACCTTCCGGAGTCGTACTTAATTTGTAGCCTGGAAGATTGCCCTTTCTCCTCTTTCATACACAGTAGAGGGAATTTGTTCCCCAGATCCTTTGTCTAGAAACGTTAAGGCTTGTTTGTATGTTTTCAAAGAAGAAAGATGTTATTCCCCCTCCCACACCAGTACCAGTGGAAGGTCCGCATAAGCAACATCAGCTGAAGCCCTTCATTCAGGTTTCATCCTCCTCCTGTTCATATTTTCTAGATATTGAATTTCTTTTTTCTCTCAACTCTTGTGCTCATTTGAGCTTCTCGATCTCTTTGCCTCTTTTTCAGTTCAACAAATTTAATGCTATCCTTGACTAGGTCTCTTTATGTTTTAAGCCGTATGTGGGTAAACACCACCCCCAACCCCCAAAAAAAAAAATCATAGGATCAGCACCTAAGGGTTAATGCCCATTATGGAAAGTGAGCAACATTTTCTTCAAAGTTTATCAGCACTGCTGTAGTTGACTCAGTTCTTTTTACCAAGCCTACTTCGAGGACAAACTTTACTGAATGTTTGACTAGGACAGATGAAGAGGGGAAGTTCCTAAGGGAGTAAGCTACAGAAAACTAGGCAGTTTGAGTAGTTAATAGTTTCCATGAACTGAATAGCAAGTTGGAAAAACGAAGGATCAAGAGTACAGGTGATATTTTGGAAAGTGGGAAGAATGGACCAGGATAGTTAATGAAACTGAACGTGTTTCTGTCACATTTGTCTGAAGATAGAAGCTAACATCATGCTTGCATTTAGGAGCTGTAGAACCATCTTAACTTGGAGGCCAGTATGTCTGCACAACTTAGGATTATTCAAGCTCTACACATACTCCAAGAAAGATGGGATTTGTCTTGATAAATGAAAAATTAGAGTGCTATGACGTTATATTCCCAGGCTGTAGATTGATATATGAACCATACACTAAAGCCTCACCAAACTGGCGTCAAACTTGCTATTGACTTTATTTTTGTTTAGGTTTTTGTTGCTGTAATTTTTATTGCATAGATTAATGCTTACAGCGGACATCTACAGTAGCTGCTAACCATGCTTTTGCAGACTTTTTGAAATAAGCAAGCACTGAACTGTTATATGTCAATTTGCCGAAGGATTTTTCAGAAAGCATGATCCAGTTGAAGCTCTAAGTTCAATTTTATTTGTGAAATCTAATGTTTTTTCTTTTTTGAACACCCATATAACCCCCACCCCACCCCGAATGAAATTTGGGTCCTAGAAAGGTCCACTCTGAGCCCTACACAGGCTAGGACCTATCCCATCTAATGCAAAATTTCACTTTAAACGTTCCAATTAGTTGCTACCCTATTCATAAGTGATATCGATATTTGGATTGCTTGGCTGAAACTTCTTTCATGTTCCACTTAGTTGCTGCCCTTTTCATAAGTGATATCGATGTTTGGATTGCTTTGCTGAAACTTCTTACATGAATACCACTCTTGTGCATCTGAAGTTGTGTTCAAATCAATTCATTTGGAGAAAATTAGAAGGTTCTGTGGTTCAATTCAGTAAGATGCTATTTCTTGGGCATAACAGAGTTCTCTCCATCTCAATCCCCTGCTATATGTTTGAATGTGCATGAACAATGGTATGTTGGGCATGAATTTGAGTGTAAATGTCGAATGATGTCCTGGCCCTTCCTTGCAACTTTCTGTTTCTTTTTTATTCATATCATCACCTCATAGAGCTATGAGCTAAATTCATTCATTATCTCAATCAGGGTTGGAAATTTGTATACTGATCAAAATTATGAGTACTCGCATAATAGACGACTCAGTTGAAAAAAGATTGGAATTTCTATATATTTGTAAATTATATGGTAGCAAAACCGGTTCTATCATCTAATATCACTTCAGCTTACAGTACAGTCTGAATATTGTTAGGACTAAATAGTGAATTTCAGCCTGATCCTTCTGACTTAACATGAAGAAACAGTATATGAGGGTTTAGTGACAATCTAATCATTATTAGTTCTTTAGTACTGTTAGTTCACTGTTGATTCTTAGTTATTTTCCGATTTTGCATTTATTGTTTCCTTGTACTCGACAAAACTATCTATGTGAATGTGTTCCTGGAGTACGCTTAATGGACATATTGTCCTCGTGAAAATAGGCTCGAAGAGAAAATGTCCAACTTAGAGTCAGAAAATAAAGTCCTTCGCCAGCAGGCGCTAGCGATGGCTCAAAGTCATAAATTGCTATCAAATCGGTCAAGGTCAATCATGCAGGTAAATTTGGAAAGAAAAATATATTTTACTGGATTCCTATGTGGTGTCAATTGCTTACAGCTTTTATTCTTTGCCTCTTGGTGAAATTGACAGCGGGCTGACAGTACTACAAAAGCTAATATCGTAAGTATTACACTCTCAACTGCTGTTTTAATTTGCCTCTGCAATGGCTCGAAGTCATAACTGCAGTTTAGCAGTTTTATATTCACATTCGATTGCAATATTTTTAGGACCTACATAGTTCTTCAATGATCTCAAGAGAATCTTCAGAGGTTGAGGGAAGACCACAAAAATCACTTAATGAGAAGCAACAGGAGTATCAGGATTTGCTCATCCGATGTGTTGCCCAGCACCTTGGCTTCTCAAAAGGCAGACCTGTTGCTGCCTGTATTATTTACAAATGCCTCAGGCATTGGCATTCATTTGAAGCTGAAAGGACAAGTATTTTTGATAAAATTATACAAACCATAGGTCATGCTATTGAGGTAAAACGGGAATAAACAAAATGTTTAAACTCTGTTTGTGTGGTAGTGGTTTCTGATTGGAATTTTCTTTTGAGCAGAAGACACAGGACAACAATGATGTTTTAGCTTATTGGCTATCCAATGCTTCTACTTTGTTGCTTCTGCTGCAGCGGACACTTAAAGCTGGCGGCACTGGTGGGACTACTACCCAACACCGCCGTACTCCATCAGCAGCAAGCCTATTTGGGAGAATGACACAGGTAAATCCTATCCTGGTGTCTGCTTCTTGATTTAACTCCACCAAATACACACATGTAAATACAACTCGTGCAGAGTTTTCGGGGAACTCCTCAAGGTGTGAACCTGTCACTCATAGATGGTGATTTGGGTGGCAGCCAAGTTGAAGCTAAATACCCTGCACTGCTATTTAAGCAACAGCTTACCGCTTATGTGGAAAAGATTTATGGAATGATCCGTGATAATTTGAAGAAAGAGATTTCTCCTCTTCTGGGGTTGTGCATTCAGGTGCATGATAAATGTATACTTTTGCTGTAACTATTTAGCCATGTCAGTAGCTGGTTTGTTGACCTACAGGTTTGTGATTAATTGCCCAAAATAGGCACCTCGAATATCCAGGGCAAACTTAATCAAGGGGACAGCACGTATGCTTGCGAATGCGGCTGCTCAGGAGATCTTAATTGCACATTGGCAAGGAATTGTGAAGAGCCTAGGAGGCTGTTTGGATATCTTGAAAGCCAATCATGTGGGATTTTGTTTAATCAGCATGCAATTTTCTATCTCTTGTTTCTCATTTTGGTGTTGCTTTTAATAATTTTAACAGATTCGAGTTTTATCTTGTCTTAGCATCTAATTGACCAAAGAATTTAAGAACCAGTTCTTTAGTAGATTTCATTCTAAAGCAGCCGTTGTCTACAATGCTGGCTGTTTTGTTATTACGCTTCCTGACAATACAGAGTTATTTTCAATTTTAGGTTCCGCCCTTCTTGGTACGCAAAGTATTCACACAAATATTCTCTTTCATAAATGTTCAACTCTTTAACAGGTGCGCTTCGTGAAGTCATGTGTTCATAGACCCACTGATCTGTGATTTTAGTTCAGTTTGTTTATGCGTCTTTCTTATTTTTTATTTTTTCTCTTTTCCCATTGTAGCTTACTGCTCAGACGAGAATGCTGCTCATTCAGTAATGGGGAATACGTAAAGGCTGGGTTGGCTGAACTGGAACATTGGTGCTATAATGCAACTGAGGAGGTATTTCAGCTTTCTAGGTGTATGTCCTTTTATCATTGCCTTTTTGTCTAAACAGGGAAATTTAATGCAGTATTCTGGTTCATCCTGGGACGAGCTTAAACATATTAGGCAAGCGATTGGGTTCCTGGTAACTTACAGTCTTCTTCTTCGAAACAGTTTGATGCTTATTTTACTTAAACAAATCAGCAGTGCTTGACATCTGTCTTAGTTTATCTCTGAATTTACATTTGGTTTTTCATTTTGAAACTGCTATCATTCTACAATGAACACAACAGAGATGCTGGGGAGAAAGTGGGGGCAGTGAACTTTTTGCTGTTTAGACTTGTTGTCCGGTTGTCCCTGGATATGGAATGATGATTTTTTATTTGTGTTTTAGGTTATCCATCAGAAGCCCAAGAAAAGTCTGGATGAAATAAGTCATGATCTATGTCCTGTAAGTGGTGGTACCTATGTTTATCTGTTGGACTCATTTAGCGAAAGCTGGGATCTGTCATTCTCAATTTTCTGATGATTTACAGGTGCTTAGCGTTCAACAGCTTTACAGAATCAGCACAATGTACTGGGATGACAAATATGGCACCCATAGCCTTTCCCCAGATGTAAGTCCCTGTTTTTGATATTTAGAGGGAGAGGCCGAGTGCGTTTTTTTGTTCAGCCTCTTTTGGGGGAAGAAAAGGGTGATAAGATATGCTGCCTTTAATTTTATTATTAGCATCTGCTGCCTTGATTTTATTGTGCTGAGGATAGTTGTGGAGCTTGGAAAAAAAGATATTCATTTGACATGAAAAAGTGAACCAACTTTTTCTTGATTGGGAGTGTGCTTCTGGTCAGCATCATTTCTTGAATGAATTGGGATAGATGCTGTTTATCTAACGGATTCGTGAATAGGTTATAGCGAAGATGAGGGTGCTAATGACGGAAGACTCCAACAATGCTGTCAGCAGTTCTTTCCTGCTGGACGATGATTCAAGGTTAATTAACACATTCTCTCCTCTGTTTTGTCTCACTTTGTTCTACTTTCCTGTGTAGTGCTTTATAATTTTCTTTTGTGGCCATAGCATTCCATTCTCCGTCGATGATCTCTCCAAATCAATGGATCAGATTGACATTTTAGACATTGAACCGCCACCACTTATTCGCGAGAATTCAGGCTTCAGCTTCTTATTGCCTGCCTCCGGCTGATAAAAAGACGGTGCCTGCTTCTTCACAAACTCTTCCTAAAGAGGTAGTCAGTCCATTGACTACTCGCACTCAAATTCAAAGTACTCCCATTTGTCCAAGAAAGAACTGGATTGATTCATCTTCCTTTTTGTTACCTGTCGCCGCACTTTTGTATTAATTCTTCTGTATTTCCTCACTTCATCCGGTTGAAGTCCATTTTTGGGGATATAAGATGCTTCCCCTGGGTTAGAACTTAGATAGACAACTTTTAAATTTCTTCTTTCTTTTTACAATTCAAACATTTGACTTGAGGTAGGTTTTTATGCTCCCCGATCTGCAGGCTAGGGAATTAAGTACCATTTGTACATTTTTGCTGTAAAAGTTTTGGCTACATTTATTTATTATTATGGAACCTTAAACAAAGAGGAGATGGAGTAAATAAATAACCCCCAAAGAAAGAAAATGGTTGTTTAAGCTTTGGTCAAGGACTTGCAAATTGTACACTATTTATTTACAGGCAAAGTAAAATACACTAAGGTTGAAAAGGCGATTTGACCTAAATAAGGAGCCAGTAGTACTCAAAAGCCAAAGCATATCGAAAGATGTGCTAATCATGATTAGAGATCTCAACTGCATCTGTAAATGAAGTGACACTCAAATTGGGAAGGCTACACTACAGAATGGGGAAGGAACAATAGTAACATATTTACATGTATATGGTAATCAGACATTAATTTTGCAGGGGGGTATTTAGTATTCATCACCACACACACACTGACTTGTAGTAGTTGCTAGTCTGTTTGGACTCACAGTACTTCAGTATTCTGCCTTTCCCTATTAAAGCAACTCCCACACAGAGATCCATTGAGCTCTTTCTCTCACACCCTTCAAAGAGTTCAAACATCAATTTTTGATTCTTGAACCCAAGGAAAGAGTACTACTATGGAGAAAGTGAAAATGCATTCTAGTGGTACTACAGATCTGAAGAAGATCAGAAACAGTAATAACATGATGAGGGACTATGGTAAGTTGTTGTCACCGTGGCCAGAAAGAAACTACAGATGCAGCTTTTGCAAGAAAGAGTACAAGTCAGCTCAAGCTCTTGGGGGGCATATGAATGTTCACAGGAGAGACAGGGCTAGAATGAGGCTGTCTTCTCCTTCTTCATCGGTCGTCGAAAACAGTACTCCTCTTGTCATCAACACCACAAACCCTTACCCTAATCACACCATCGCCTCATCTTCCTCTTCTGCTTCTCCTTCTTCTTCCTTAGCCTGCCAGTTGTCATCGCCTTGTAATATGATGACTCAGTACTGTCCCTTTTCTTCACCGTCTTCCGCCTCCATTACAGATGAAGAAAAGGTTGCCATGGTTCCTCAGTTGTACTCACAACATCCTCTAATGAAAACAAGAGATTTTGGGATCGATTTGAACAAAAGGGCTCCGGTTGTTGAACTTAGTGAGCAGCTACCGGCTGTTGTCATGACAAAAAGAAACAGTTATTCTCTGGTTTGGATGAAGGAAGAGGAAAAAGATGATCATCTGGACTTGGAGCTTAGGTTAGGTTTCTCTAGGTAGACATTCATCACCTTTATATTGTTTTTCTTTCAGACCAAGCTCGTTTTTTAACTTTTGCACTTCTGGGTAGTACTGTGTTTTGTTTAATTAAGCTTCTTTGGTAATGTCGTGCATGGTTTCATTCTCATGATGACCTCGAATCCGTGGAGCAAGAATAAATTAAATGCAATAATTGGGATTTCGGAATTGTTTGCGATGAAGTTCATTCATTCTGTTCTTATTTAAACATAGGTTTTTTTTTTTTTTTTTTTTAAAAAAAACTTTACTCTTCGATCAAACATTCGGATAGATGTCGTCCCTAAGCGGAACTCAGAGGTCGATAAACTCAAAAGTTTGTATCTTGCATTGATAGTACGACTCTGACGTTCATCTTGATCATCTCTCTGCTGGTAAGCTATGCTCACAGGAAAAAAATGTTAAAAACCAGGAGAGATTAATTTCCAAATTGAAAAAAAATTCATGAATGAAATAACAAAACCAGCTTTCTCAAAGTCAGATTGGCTGAAATTTTACTACGGTAGTCCACTGTAGTTGCTATGGCTGGAAAGTAACAGTAAGTAGTATGGTGGTTGCTGTTATAAGATAAAGAAAAAAAAAAAAAAAAACTATGGGGTAAATCATCAGTCTCATAGAAGCATGATTTAATAAGGTTTATAATATACTCCTTTACAAGCTTAAACTAAACTAAAGCTATATGGATCCAATCGAAACTGATTAATCATCAAGCGGTCATTCAGTCAACTTGAGATAGATGATACGTAGCCCATATTATGCTCATGTCATATGTACCCAATAAGAACAATTTGGTCCAAAAAAACTCAAACTAATGTTTGTCTAATAATTACTGACATGACTCATAAATGTGGACCACATCAACACCATCGATCTATCACCAATTTGAACCAAGTCAACATATAATTCTTCAGTTGGAATATAAATGAAACTTTTTTTTTTTTTTTTGGGTGCATTTTTTATAACCCTTTTGCAGTTTGCATGCAGTACTTGTAGAAAGCTTAAAGCAGCCCAAACAGCAGAGAAAAATGTTATGATGAAGAAAGAAAGCATTAAAGCTAAGTTGATCAGAGAAGGCATATGTGCCAATGCATGCTCCAGGGCGAATTACTTGAGTCTTTCAACCACTTCATTACTCAACCAGGCTAAAATGGACTTTTTTTTGTTTTTGTTTTTTGACGAATAAAGGAGTACGTACAAACCATTAAGACCATTAAATTCTTTCAAGAAAAAAGTAAGAAGACATTCTCAGTGATGAATTTTCCACACTGGAATTCTTGAAAGATGCGTATTTGCATATGTGTCTGAGAAATTAAGGAGAGAGTCAGTCCAATGATGAAAAGCTATTGCAGGTTATAGCTAGGTAGACAGCAATATATTCAGAGAGACTGAAGTGAGGTTTTGAAGTACAACACAATATTTATTATATATACTATTGGTTGCACACAATATTCTTGTATTGAGGGATATACATGGATGGATGTGTTTGTAATTTCCAAGGTGGTATTCTTTCTGAGCTGCAAGTTTATGCATGTTCCCAACAAAGGGTATAATATCAGTGGCATGATGACATTTTCCGTTTTTAGTAACCCATTTATTTTTAGGTCACTTCTTCACTCCCAAATAAGTTGAGATTTCATTAATTTAGTTTCAAGTTTCAACCCCCTCCTCTCTCTCGATCTTCACCCCCCTTAGAACAGCTCCTACAGTTCAAACTGCATCTTCTGATCATCACTCATCATTCCTCTTCATCATCAATTCATGCATTCATCTAGTATAAGTAGTATAGAGTAGTAGTTAGTAGTTACTCAATCAGAAGCTATCCATTATTACAAATTAACTCTGTGATAATTAATTTACTACATATTATTTGGTCAAAGTGTAATATGTCTTCTTAGTTGATAGTTGTCACACACACACACACACACAGTTTTGAAATTGGAACTGAAGGTGGACACTGAATTAAATGTGAAAACAAGAGTCTAGAGCGGAGATGAGGTCCCCCCCACACCTCGATCCTATAGGTAGCATGCAGCTAAATTAAGAGAGTTTGAAAAATATTATGTATAAAAAAGAAGAGAAATTCTTGGGGAAAGAAGATGTGAATCTGCCAAAACTGCATGTTTTGGTGAAAGGGGAGAATGGTTAGTGTTACGTTTGCAGTGGGTGCGAGAAAAATCAAACGTCATTGCTCACTCACAATTTGCGGTTGGTTGCATTATATCTGCATATAATAATATAATGGTAATTTTACAAAATTCTTCCCTTTTTTTTCTTTTTTTTTTTTTTTTCCTTCTGTACGTAGTTTCAAAATTTGAAGTGTATGTTGCTTTCTCTGCTCCAAACTTTAATAGTCCTCCTGAATCCTGACCATGCAATGGGAGGGTCTCCAATGCAATCTAGAATAAAGTTGGAAACTATGCTAATTGTGTAACTGATTTCATACTTTAGATCAAATAAATACAGTAGAACGTCGATAAAGTAATACTTGATAAAGTAATAATTTATAACAATTAATAATTTTCTCCGGTTCCAACTTGAGACTAGTACAAAAAGTGACAAAAATCGATAAAATGATAAGATAATAATGATTCAGAAAATCTCCTATATATCTATAGGTCCCAACAATAATGTAAATTAATAAATACCTTAAATGTCAAAAAAAAAAATACTAATATCTAAGGAAGATTTAGTAAAATATGAGTTTATTGATACTTGTTTTTTCTTGAAATTTAAATCCAATAAAATTTCATCCTTGTCTCATTACCCTTGAGTGCTCTGATATTGTATTCTCAAATTCTTTTCGCGTGACTATTGCCAAAGGCAGTGAATCATCATCACCTTCATCCCCAATTGAATTATCTCCAAGAACACTGGTTACAATATCCTCAAATGATTTGACCTTCGTAGGGTCATCATTTTTACTTGAATAATCCACCAACTGATTGACATTCATCTTATTAATTTGAGTTTATTGTTTAAAAGAGTTGCATTCCTTGCTTGTTTAGGATCGTAAAGAAACGATGGAAAATTACGTAATATAGTAGGTTTTTAACGAAAAAATTCTTTAAATTAATTTTATCAATAAACTAATAATTTATTAATTTATCGATTATTTAATAATTTACTAAATTAATAAAATTTGGTTGTCCCAACACTATTAATTTATAGAAGTTCTAGTATAATCCTATTACATCAAATAAAAGAAAGTTGGTAACTATGCTAATTGTGTAAATGTCACAATCTAGATCAAATAAATAATCCCATTACATCAAATAAAAGAGAGAGGGAAAAAGATAACAAACAAGCCATATGCGCGCATAATCCTATCATCACATCAAAATAAATAAATAAATAAAGAAGCCATACATATGCAGCCGGCAATCACAAGGGGCCAAGATCAGCGACGACGATGACATGCTCTAAACTGGTGGTGGCGATGGATGACTCCGGCTGTCGCGGCTGGTGTTGGCAATCAATGGCTCGAACTCGGAAACATGATCGAATGAGGAGAATAACACATGTGAGCCCGAAAAGCAAAGAGACGAAAGCCAAGATTGTAAGTACAAAACAAAGCAAATATATGTAGAGGAATTTGAGGTCGGATAATTTGGTGGAGTCAGCCCCGAAAATACAAAAGTTTCTTTTTTTATATGTAATGTGGAAGCCTACCAGCTTAGATACAAAAGTATCCCTCCAAGCCTGGGATGTCTCGGCAGCTTCACTTTTCAAAAGCTCTAAAATTTGGGACGGGTATTGACAAAATTTACCTTTCATATGAACAAGTCAAATTTTGCCAACTCGTCCGCCACATGATTCTGATTTCTACTGGCATGAACTACTTTTGCCTGCCATCTGAGATTTAGCAAACCTCTAATTTTACAAAAGATATTACTATTTACATTGACGGTGTCTCTATTCAATAAGAATTGTATCGCTTCTATGCTATTCAACTCCAAAATGATATTACGAAAACCGAGTTCCCAGGCAATTAGGAGGCCGAAAAATACAGAAGTTTCTGAATGTTTAACTCATTAGGAATATGACCGTACTTGCGGGGCAAGAAAAGAATGAATAGGAATAAATATTTTAATTACTTTATCATATATGATTTGTTTTTAAGGGAAAATGTTGCACAAGAGAATGACATGTCGGCTTTCACTTTTTCCTGACAGCTATATATTTTAATAGTGTATATAGATTGAAAGAGAGCTGACATTATTTATTAAGAAAAAAATTTGAAATCAAGTAATTAATTTGCCTTCAATCCTAACCCGACTTATATTTTAAAAAAATGTCGGGTATGTGATACTTGTTGTAGAGTAGAGCATTCTAGATTGTATATTGCTTTGAAACATATTACATTGTTGTATAATTTTGACTTGATACATCGTAATGTCGGTAGTTCTTACCACATACAGTCTAAGTCTGGAGCTCATTAATTTCTCATTATTATCTATGATCATAGCCGAGCCACTTGGGTGTTTTTTAAGTGTTATAAGTCTGAACCAAAATATTATCTGCTGTTGTTTTTCAGTTTGGTAATAACTGCTCAATACTAGAATAAAAGTAATTCAAACTGATAATAATCTTAAATCTAGTCATTTTCTTTTATAAACCACTTTTTTTTATTATAGAATCGAGAAACAAAGAAGTTCTCCACACTCACCTCGCTAAATAGCGTGATAGAGTGAAAACATCAACACAGTTTAAACATCGCTAGAACATTGTGATTTTATGCAAACTTGACAGCCATTTTTGGGGGAATGCATGTTTGTTGTTGCATTTTTAATTAATCACGATACTTTGTGTTGAGTAATCAAACAAACTATGAAATTTTATTAGGTAAAAAACCTTCATAACATCATTTTCGTAGTTTTGGGTCTCTTCTATGCATATGTTCTTAGGCTCATGATAAAATTGTATCTCGAGGGAAGTCGCATAAGTTTATGATTTGGAGCGTAAGATTATTCAAAGTTCAAGGGATGTTAAATTTTTGAAAATGTGATTCCACATACATTGGTTCAAAGATCGACTAATAACATGATCACACTAAATGTCAGATTTCATTTTCCAAAGATTACAGCTGATGATTCTGTTGCAGTGATATTGGATGATGATCTGTCATAGTTTTTTCAAACAAAATCATCCGTGCATACATTGTCGATCCCAATATAACATCGAG